CTGGAAAGGACGAAATTGGGAATAATAGAAAGCTGTAGGCATTAAACATTTGATATTTATTATTCAAAACCCTAACATCTCAAAATTGTTCAAGTCAGATTTCTTTAGATATTCCGATTCAATTAAAAATAGAGAACGATGGAACAAAATTTGGAACTATTCATGTCTTAAGTATAATACTGTAATGAAATAAATGTATCCATTTTTTAAGTCATAACAAACTTTATCCCGTCGCTAGCGCTCGTTTACCATTCTCAGGATCCAAAGAGGAAATCATCCTTTTGATGATCAGCATCGTAATGTCACATGTCGGGGTCTTACGTAATGTCTTGCATCAGCGTTGGACCCCAACAGAAGACACAGCTCGGCCTCCTAAGGAATACTTCGCCCTCGATCACCATCCAATCCCATCACCATCAAGGATAGTGAGTGAGTGCGGAGAAGACTTCCCAAACAATATATTGCTCGCCACTCTTGAAGGCATTCTCCCCACGATTGAATCCAATGGGAAGGTAATCTATAGGGAAGGGTATATAGAGATGGCATGGCTGATAATGGGTGATAAAATTATGATACCATCATCCTCATTGATGAGACTTTTGATTGTATGATCAAGTCAAAGAACAGAAATGTGCTGAAATTGATTCATTGCTTTGAACTTGTACACCACAATCAGCAGACCCTAGTGATGCAGGAGATCTGTCTACTCTTAGTGAAAAGACCAAATGCTACTGAAGCTGGCAGTCCAACAAGGAAAGCTTCGACGATTGAAACTTGAAGGTGAAGTTCGTTAGTGCCGGCATCTTATGCACCGACCAATATTATTTAAACTTATCCACGTTCGATGGCGATAGTATATTAATGTACAATGGCTCTGTCGCACTGAGGTTCTCTCGTTACACTTTTCCAAAAAATTTTTTCGCATAATAGTAGATCGCAAGTCGTCACATGCCACGGGAACGTCGTCTAATAAAAATGCTCCTCGGAATTTCAGCTGACTTCAATATTAAACTTCAGATCCAGAAAAGCCGAAAAGCGTCGATACCACAGCGTTTGAAAATCTTAAGAGTGGTTGGAACGGCCAGGAGCGAGGACTACATTCGACCAGCCGGAGCACTTTAAGCGATGATTGTGGAGTGGCATCAACGAGTGGAGTGAATTTTTTGGGCATTAAGGAAGTGTATGGGGTGCATTATCAGCTATGGTGCAAATGTATTTTGATGTACAAACTAGACTGCAGCTGTACTCCTGATTTTACAGCTACAGAGAAACAGATATGGGTAACTTTAAACTCTTCGTACAGGATGATCCATTCGTCAGCCTTGGAGATAAATCTAAGAACTAAGTTTCTCCATCGGAGTAAGTAAAGAACTGAAGGCTAGTTTCTAGAAGTGATGATACGGATCCTGGATTCTTTCTGAAGGAAGAATCGGAAACAAGGACATCAATAAAGTGCACGGTTGTCTCATTCAGCACACAGGCCTCAGTGGAAGGTCGATGGAAGTATGTAGGACTCTGTTTTCAGGTTCTACGGTACCTTCGAGCTTCTAAATATGGGTGAGATCAGTGGCCCTATGCAATAGACCACCGGACATTAGTTTTTGAGCCATTATGTAGAGTAACTAAAATTTAAACCCGGGAATCTCCTTTTTCTTCTGGTTTCTTCTGGGAACAAGAATTGACCAAACATGCCAGACAGCAGTGAGATCTGGGAGTACCGGGTACCAATTTGGTATCTAAGGGAAGAATTAGACCGGAGGAATCTGATGGCCTCATTCAACACCTCTTCTTACTTTGAGAAGAAAAATTCCTTCATTCTGGAAAGAATATTCAGGTGAGTGCCTTGGAGTTGTCAAACCTTGCTCAACAGAGAGAGCGAGACATCCCAATATACTGATAGTTGCGTCAGTCACCTGCAATTGATTCATTCCCTTCTTTGCATACTAAATAGGATAAATCGAGGAATGAACATGAAAGCTGTCACCGAATCGTGTCCAGATGTTCAAGGAAAAAGGGCCCGAGGTCCGGAGGACAAGTTTCCTGATCGCAAGGGTTCTCTCAGTGGAAGCACAGCGTCGTTGGCAAGGAAGAAGCCGAGAGTGCATTAGTCCTCTCAACGGAAGCAAGCTCTCACATCCAGTAGCAGTAAATGTGTGGATATGCAGGTGGTCGGTCTGTTCTGCCCCTCAAGCGAGCTTGCACAAGAAGAAGATGCAGGGGAAGTGATACAGAGGATCCAGCGTCACGGTTTCCGTCGAGAGAAATGTGAGGTTTATCCTCCTGAATTATTATAAGAGGGGACAAAGCCAGTTGTTTTGAGAAGCCAAAGACGTGTGAGTACGCCGTGGATCTGCTGCATCTGTGGTTCATGACGACGGCACCAAGGACTTCCAGGTGCTCGAGGGGCGAAACAACAGCGAAGGATTGGCACTTCAGAGAAGTCACAGGTGCGACTAATGCCTGGAATTACAGGTCAACTATTTGCCTCAAGTTTCCACAGAGCCACTGTGCTGCGAGGCTTTCGTCTATTTTTGGGCTGCCATGACACGACAAAGCCATAGACAGACAGTAGCAGCTCTGTGGACGCAGAAATGCCCAAGGGGGTTCATCAGGATTTTGTTTATTTGAGCTTTGTCTGTCTCTCTGGCCAGACAAGAAATTTCACGTTCAGGCTCCAGGGCAAGAGTTTCTCCAGTGTGCATGCCCACGTACACTGTCACAACAGCGTTCCAGTCGGAATACACTCCCGCCATGAGAATATTTCTCCGTCTCCTCCGGTCGATCCTGTTTTTCGGGGCAGGAGAATCTCGTCACCGTGTGAAAGCAGTGGGTGCGTACTGTGCACGGGCTTGACAGATTGCTGCAGAGGAAATGGTGACGATTCGGGATGGCGGGCCACGGACCGAGTCAGCTCACGTCAAATAGACAACTTTGACCGAAAAGAAAAAATTAAAAGCAAAGCAAAAATTAAACATAAATTTCTAAATCAACTGACGAAGGACACAATGTAGTAATGGTGGCTCGTAGTAATGGAGGAGTTAACACCACACTTTCACCAGCAGATTTTTCCCTTGTGCTGCAGATCTTGTCCTCTCGCAACGAGAGCGATGCACAGAACCGAGCCATGGAATTGATCCGAAGAAACAACATCCCTGTACGGCGTCCTTCGTCGACTCTAATCAGCGTCAGACACGAGCAGGCTTCCAGTCTCGCAGGGGCTGCCATCGCAAAAGCCATGCATGAGCTTGCATGCCCGCCCAGCGAGCGAGAGACAGAGACAGAGCTCCCTCCCGAGATGCACTTTCGGCCCGGGCCAAGGCTATGGGTACGTCAGCATTCGCTGCGTCCCAAATTAAGCCGGTCTCGTATCGCGCAGTGGATCACCCCCTCTGACACTTTGCCCTCTGTAGGCACCAGCTTCGACATGAGGATTTTTTTTTTGGGGGGGAGCGGGGGCGATGGGGAATTTCGGGAGGGGTCGTTCGTCAGACGACAGTCGAGCACATGGTTCTCGTGGATCAGGTGGAGGTCTATTCCTCCCTGCTCTCCGCGGGAGAGGGGCACTTTTGCTCACAATTGCCCAGTTGGCCGTGATCGAGCTCCGAGGAAAAATCGAAGGCCTCGGACAATGTCAAGGCCTCGGCCACCACCACCACCACCTCCTCCTCCCTCTCTATTGATGGCCGCATAGAACAACCCGCGAGAATAATTCGGACCTCGATCGACCTTCGGGCTCGGGCGAGCCTGGTACAAATGAGAATTACCGGACTGAGGCTCGGAGACTGTGACGGCTTCGCAGTTCTCGGGCTCGCTCGCGCGGTCGAGGGTGATTTTACCACGGGCTTGGGCCGATCTTGATGACGGAACTCTGACATTCTCCTGCGCAGTGGGGCCCCGGAACATTGATGGATCTGGTCGACCCGAGGCCTATCACGGCGCAGGGTTGGCGGGCTCGATTGTGGTGGGCATTCTTAACCCGAGTCCGCCGTCGCAGCCCTTTCACGTGGGGAAGGAGAATAGACCATCGATGGATCGATGGTCTATTCAAATCACTCGGTTTCTTCCCGGGCACTCTGCTCTGAAATCCCAGGACGCTTCTCGGCAAGCTCAAGCAACGGAGATTTGTCAAACCCATCCTCAGGCTGCGGTTTAACACTTAATCACCATCTGAATTGAATGAATGAATGAATAAATAAATCTTCGAAGAGGGCAGGGCATCCCGTCGATGCTCGGAATCTCGGTCAACGAATCCGTCCCCGCAGCCATGATTCGCTCTCGTCCCACGGAAGACGTCGAGGGATGGCGGTGACCGGCTCGAGAGGGCTCGCGCACACCCAAATCCAGCAACCATGGCGTGCCCAATCAGTTCACTGTCGGGGCCGAGCAGCACTCCAGCTGCTAGCAATAATTGAACGACCCCCCCACGTCGAATCCTCACGCTCTATCCGCTGAACTGAGCTGTTGACTCTCCGTAGACCCCAGTGCCTGACGCACCCTGGCGAGCCCCCCGGGCAAGCCAGCCAGCTAGCTATGGACGACTGCGGAGAAGCGATCGATGATGAGGGAATGGAGCTCGGTAGCTCGCGGATGTCGCTAGCGGGGTCTGGTGCCGAGTTTGGTTGGGGTGGGGCCCGACGGATCACCAGGAGTTCCATCATGCTGCGGAACCTCGGACAGAACAGATTCGCGGAAATGATTACACTTGGCAAATTTGGGCGACGGGCGTTCCGCTGCAGAGAAGAAATGGCAAGAGAAAGTCGCGCATGGCGTTCGTTGCCTCCTTATCTTCACAGTGCTTTCGGCTCCTCGGCCAGTCGTCGTCGCAGCACCGACAAATTGGAAGCAGGCCATCACCATCAGCATCACCATCATCCTCATCATCGGCAACTCCAATCCCCAGCTTCAGCTCCTCCCTCTGCTGCTGCTGCAGCTGCCGAGGTGCCCCATGCATATGCCCGAGCATCGCAGCTCTTAACAAGCAATTAACAGCAAAGTGCGACATTCATGCGCCAGAGGACTATCTATCCACCACACACGTCGCGTTACAGTTGGCCATGGCTCCGAGCCCCATTTAAAAATCCCGGCAACAGGGCCCTCCGATCTCCTGTCTCCGCCCTGAGGAGAAGGGGCAGCATGTATGCGCTTCACGAGAAGAGAGTGAATCTCGCTCCGAGCCCGGCAGCCGTGGAGGAGGAGGGGCAGGAGGTCCATGTATGAAGCTCGCGGGGTATAAGAATCTGGAGCCAAGGCCGGGGTCGATTGTTTGCAGTCCGGAGTTGAGAGACTAGCTCGCTAGTTCTTCGGTTATTATTTGGTTTGAGTTTGGTGCCAGATCGTGACGGTCCTGCACCTCGTCTCGTCGTGACATCCGATTGATCGATCGGTTTTCATCGCAGCCGGCATTAGAGTGTAATTAAGAGAAAACGAAAAGGTTTGCCCGATCCAAACCACTCAAGAATCAAAATCAGAACCCTGCAGAAGAAGAAGAAGGCCGCTGCGCTCAGCGACTGGCATGTACAAATTGGACTTCTCAGGATAAACACAGTGGCCCCCTTCTCGTCGTCTTTCATCTCTGTCCACCTTTCCCGCCCCCCCCTCTTTCTCTCTCTCTGCAAGCGCTGACATCGCACGGTTCGCTTTCGAGTGCGACAATCTCTCGACGACACGGTACTGCATTCCCAGGTTCGTCGGTCCAGTCGCCTGTCCGTGATGAGTTTCGGAGATCGGAGCAGCAGCAGCAGCAGCAGAAGACAGCAGCCTGTCGACTCACTGTCACTCTCACCCCCGTTGCGGTTCCGGAGCTCCATGCCAACTTTGAATCCTCTCTACTAGCTCCAGGTGCGTCGTCGTGTTCTACTAGCTCCAGGTGCGTCGTCGTGTCCTGATCAATCGGGAAGAAATCTCTCTCTCTCTCTCTCTCTCTCTCTCTCTCTCTCTCTCTCTCTCTCTCTCTCTCTCTCTCTCTCTCTCTCTCTCTCTCTCTCTCTCTCTCTCTCTCTCTCTCTCTCTCTGAGTGCCGATCACGACACACGAAGCTCTGAAGTTCCATCGATAGCTCGTCTGCTCTTGCTCACATGCCCTCCCTCCCGTGAGCTCGTCTCTGGAAGATTTGTCATTCCTCTGCCCTTCGTCGTGCTTCAGTGACCCACTCCTGGCCTCCATCACAACGATCTCTCCTCTGTAGCATTCCGTGTCGAATTCTTCCACATGTACCCGGGACAAATCTTAGTCCAATCGGTGCCGGCTCGTGTAAGTCTCGGTTGGGAGCTTCTCTGTATGAGCAACTTGTCTCGTCTTCGTGCCCGACTCTTCCCTCTTCCCTCAGTGTGATGGCGGAGGCCGAGTGGGTTTAGCTTTCATGTGCTCGTTTAGCTCGTCCAATTGGACAGTTTGCTGGCGGCCTGGCCCTGTTTTTGGTCCGCATGTTGTTTGTCGAGATGATCTACTGACGGTGGTGCTGGGGCGCAAGTGCAGGTGTTCCAAATTCGATCTCTTCCCCGGGGTGTTCTTTGGGAGCTGATTTCCCTCGACCTTCTTGAAGCTCCCGTCTCGTGTTCTCGAGTCGGTATCGGGGACCAGCAGCCATGGCTTCCCATGGCGAGCCAGTGGACATCTTTCCCAGTGGACTGCTCCACGTGAACTTGTACTATGCCCGAGATATCAAGCCCCGAGATGCCATCAGACCAGGTTTGTACAAGACGAGCTGATTCCTCTCCTTCCTCGAATTTCTATTTGATTTTGTATCGTGACGAGATTCACTTCACAGTGTTGAAATCCTCTAATGATTCGCTCTCGAGAATCTCATTCCAGGTTAGCGATGAGAGGCACGAGATCGCCGAGGGATCTGACTAGTTTTCGTTTCCTGTGTTCACAGGAAGGGCTGATCCGTATGCGATCATCAGTTTTGATGGCCGAGAAGCACCTCGGAGCCGAACGATGCAAGGTACTTCCGCAGCTTTGATTCTGTTCCTGCAATTGCTTCGTCGGTTCAGATTATTGCAGAATTTGCGATGTTCAGCCTCAAAATTGAACTCGTGATGGGATGTAAGTTTGCACTAAAGAGAGCGAAATCGATGTTTCTACGAAAATTTGAGCTTAGATCGTCGTAAGGACAAATCTGATTGCTTCTGCCATGAACGTGCAGATGCCGGGTCCTCTCCCGAGTGGAACCAACATTTCACCTTTCCCATTCGACGACTACCTGGAGATCAGCCGCATCTGGAGAAGTCGAACAGCATCAGGTCCGATAGCAGCAGGGGCTTCAAGAAGTTGTTCAGCAGCAAGACTTCAGATAAGAACAAGGACTATGACTCCATCAATACTCTAGAAGTGAAAATCTACGATAGGAACAATTTCAGGCAGGACTTCGACATGGGAAAAGTCAGGTATGACTCGATTCTACTGATCAGTAGAGGAAGTGCCTCCCCATAGATACTGGAGAGCAAATTTTTGCTGGTTTTGAGAAGTGAATTTGTTTCCCTGGTGCTGTTTTTTTCCCAGCATTGAAAAGCCGTCGGTTTAAATCGTTCACGAAGAAAATTTTTAGCAGCTGGGACTAACGAAGCGAGAAAAGATCATTACGTATAAATGAAGCTGAGGATATGGCTTTGTCTGATCATGATCGTGGTCCGATATTCCACAGGATTCCCAACTTGGCGAGACTTGTCAGTGGCACGCCTCACTGGATGGTGGAGAAGAAGGACTTTCCAGTTTTTGAGGAGCTGAAAGGGGGAGAATTGCAACAGAGGGGCTTGGTTTCGATGTCGATCGCTTTTCAAATCATGGACGAGCGCGAGTTCGCCATGGGATGGTTCCCAGAGCCCACGGTGGACGACAATCTGCAAGAGTACACGCCAGTTCTTTTCCAACAAACTCCCCCCCAGATGATGACAACGGTGAGTTCCACATTCTCTCTTTCCCTCGAGATGCAGAAATGTTGTGGGGAGAAGATTCGGAAATCAGATTGGACTGGCTCACAGATGCAAACTGCACTATGAGAAGACAGTTCCAGTGGCAATCAGTTTTCCTGCTCGTCCTTAGCTCACATTCGATCCGATTTTAGTTTTTCTGCCAGCAATCTCTTCGCGATCTCAGATGCTGATGTTGTCATAACGAACAATAATTTCTTCTGTACCCCTGTTTAACACCTTCGAGCTCTTCTTTAGAATTAACCATTATACTGAATCGTTTGCCCTCCCTTTGCATTATTTGACAACCTGCATGAAACAGCTGGACTGAGGCACGAGTGTAAAACAAGAGAGCTTATGTTCGTAGCCCAAAGCCATATATTGAGTGTCTTTATGGGTACTTCGTTTGAATTCAATTGCTTTCTGTACTCAGTGGTGGTCATATCAAGGTTTTAGAAATGTGGTACCGAAGGCACCACATCAGGGAGATCAACATCTCTCAGTAAATGACTAAATCCGTTCGTCTAAGTGATTCGTGTGTCGATAAGTTTGTATATACCAACGCCGAAAAATCACGATTAGAAGTTTCCGACTGTTGGCAGTTGTCATTCATGGGCGTCGTTGCATCATTGACATTTTTGCGCTACACAAGAGCAACATCCTTCGAGTTTTCAAATATATAGGCTGGATATTAAATCTTTCAGACCTTCAATGCAGAATTTGTATCAACTTCCGAAGACTGATTTGGTCTTTGAAGATTTATTTCTCGTAACCCTCTGCTTCTCAACAGGACGATGAGCTCGAGCCGAAACACAAAAGTACACCCGATGCGCAGGAGATCGAGAACCTCTCGGTGGAGGTTTCGAATCTGAGTCACTCACTGGCCATGGCGCAGCAGATGGCAAGGGAAGCCAAAATGTCTGCGGACTCTCTGGCCTCCCAACTGGCGGAGGCCAAGAAGTCGTACTCGGAATTGGAGACCAAGGCACAAGGTGATGCTGCGCAGGCCAAAAGCGCAGCCGACGCACTGCGCTCGCAGCTGGACGGAGCGAAGCAGGAGAAGCAGCAGGCGGAGGCTCGATCACAGGACCTGCTGTCGAAAGCCAAAGACGCAGCCGAAAAACTGGAGTCTCAGCTGGCTGTCTCGTCGCAGGAGAAGCACCAGCTCGAGAGCAAGTTGCAGGCTGCCGTGAACGGCACAGCCGAGCTCGAGAAGCGAAACCAGGAGCTGAGGGCCAAAGTGGCGAGCTTGGATAGCCAAACGAGCGACCTGAACGCCAAGCTCCTGGCATCTGAGGCAACCATCGCCGAGTTGCGCAAAGAGCTCGCAGCTGCTGTGGACAAGCATCAGATTGTAGATCGGGACTTCCATGTGGAGAAAGAAACTCATTCCGGTCTCAGGAGTGCCCACTCGACTCTGCAGCAGACGAAAGAGAAGATCGAGAAGGAACTGTCCGAGGCGAAGAATGCGATCCAGGAGCTCAATGTGTTCAAAAGCACGGCTCAGGAGGAGAAGGCCACTCTGGGCAGTAAACTCGCTTCCCTCGAGAGCATCAGGGCCGATCTGGAAGGGAAGGGGGCCAAATTGGAGAAGGATCTGGCTTCTGCATCGGAGCTTTCCAAGAAGTCGGAGCAGGAGAAGGCAGACCTGCTGGCGGAAATCCGCACCGTCTCAAGCAAGGCTTCGGGTCTCGAGAGTGACATTGCCGAGCTCAGGAGCAAAGTCGCTGGCCTGGAGACAGACAAAGCCCGTTTGGAAGAAACCAGGGCAAAGCTCGAGACCGATCTGGCTGCCGCCTCCGAGAGCTCGAGGAAATTGGACGAGGAGAAGTCTGCACTGACGGCAGAACTCCAAAGCCTCCAAGGCAAGCACTCGAGCCTGCAAACGGACAAAGCCAGTGTCGAAGAAGCGAAGACGAAGTTGGAAGCAGATTTAGCTTCTGCAACTGAGAGCTACAAGAAACTGGATGAGGAGAAATCGAAACTGCAGTCAGAACTCGATGGTCTAGCGAGCAGGTACTCTGATCTGGACGGTGAGAACATCGAGCTCAAGGAGAAGATCGAGAGTGTAGAGACAGAAAAGTCTCATCTCAAAAAGCAGGGGCTCAAGTTGGAGCAAGGTCTGGCTATCGCCCTGGCGCGGTCCAAGGAATCCGACCAGGAGAAGGAGGAACTGCATACCGAATTGAAGACCATCGGAAGCAGGGTCGTCAGTCTAGAGGGCGAGAACACAGAGCTCAAGGACAAACTCGCTCGACTGCAGGCAGAGAAGAAGGACTTGGAAGACGCCGGGTCCAAATTAGAGCAAGAGGTGGCCGATTGGACGGACCGCACGGAGAAACTAGATAGGGAGAAGGCGGAGCTGGAGAGGAAGCTTGAAGCTTTGGGAACCAGGGGATCGGCTTTGCACGCGGAGAATGTCCAGCTCAACGACAAACTCTCCAGCCTCCAGGCTGAACGAAACAAGCTGGAAGGGGAGAAGTCGAAGTTGGTGGAATCTCTGGCAGCTGCATCCGAGCGCTCAGGGAAATTGGATCAGGACAAAGCGGATTTGCAATCCGATATTGAAACTCTCCAGAGCAAGTTATCTGCTGTGGAGGGCGAGAACACGCACCTCAAGGAGAAAATCTCTAGCTTGCAGTCGGACAGGAACAAGCTGGAGGAGGAGTTCACCGAATTGGAACAGTCTCTGGCAGTGGCCACTCAGCGCTCAGGGTCACTGGACAAGGAGAAGTCGGAGCTCAGCGCCAAACTCGAAACTCATGGCTCACGAGTGACACTTCTCCAGGGCGAGAACATTCAGCTCCAAGACAAACTTGCCAGTCTGCAAGAAGCACGCAACAAGTTGGAGGAGGAGAGCTCCAAACTGGAGCAATCGCTCGCCAGTGCTGCCGATCGCGTCAGGGCTTTGGATGATCAAAACTCGGACCTCAGCTCAAAGGTCGAAGGTCTTGAGAATTCTTTGTCCAGCTTCAAGGATGAGAACGCTCAGCTCAAAAGCAAGTTGGCCAGCCTCCAGGCGGAAAGGAACGAATTGGAGGAGGAGTTGAAGACATCTGTGGCCAGCTCCTCGGAGTTCTCGGCCAAGCTGCACAAGGAGAACTCGGATTTGTTCACCAAGCTCGAGTCGCTGGGTAACATGGTTCAGGATCTCGAGAGCGAGAACTCTAAGCTCAAGGATTCGGTATCCAGCTTGGAGAAAGAGACGGCCACCCTGAAGAAGGAGGACGCGAAGTTGGAGCATGCTCTGTCTGTGCAGTCTGAGCGCACGGGCAAGCTGGACCAGGAGAAGGCCGAGCTCAGTGCGAAGCTCGCATCTGAGAAGAATCAGGCCGCCTCTCTGAAGACAGGGCTCAATTGGCAAAAGATGGCCAAGGCCGCCGGTCTCGAAAGCAAAGTATCCCGCTTGGAGCTCGAGTTGCAAGGAGCGAAAAGCTCGGCACAGGACGCCACTCGCAAGCTCCAGAAGGAGATCGAAACATCTGCTTCTCTGAAGCTCGAAGTCTCCGAGCTGCAGACCAAACGAGCATCCCTCGAGAAAGATCTCGCCGCAGCAAAATCTCGCATCAACGAGCTGCAGTCGTCGGTGAAAAGCTCACAGGCCCAAATCGAGGCCCTGAACAAGGACAAGACCAAGTTGACCGAGGCCAAGGCTGTGACCGAGAAGGAGCTCGGCACCGGCAAGGCTCGCATCGTCGAGCTGCAAATTTCAGTCCAGAAGGCTGAAACGAGAATCTCCGACCTGACTGGAGAGAAGAGCAGGCTCACCGAGGCCAAGGTCTCGACTGAGGAAGAGCTCCAGAAGGCTCAGTCTCGCATTCAGGAACTGCAGAAATCTCTGAAGATCTCGCAGTCCCAACTGGCCGAGCTGACGACAGAGAAGACGAGGCTGGCTGAGGGGAAATCGGCTACCGAGGCAGAGCTGGGAGCAGCCAGGACTCGAGTCCTGGAGCTGCAAAAGTCCATCAGCAGCACTCAAGCTCAAGTGGCAGAGCTGACGAGCGAGAAGGCGAGGCTGACGGACACCAAGTCCCAAGTCGATGCGGAGCTCGGAAAGGCGAGGTCCCGCATGGTGGAGCTCGAGGGATCCATCAAGAGGGCTGAGTCCCAGGTGGAAGATCTGCTGGGCGAGAAGAAGAGGCTGACCGAGGCCAAATCTGCGACCGAGGCAGAGCTGACGGCGGTGAAGGCTCGCACGGGCGACCTGCAAAGGTCCATCAAAGCCACGGAGTCGAAGTATGCGGATCTGATGGGCGAGAAGACGAGGCTGGAGTCCACCAAGTCCTCGACGGAGAAAGAGCTGGAGAAGGTCACCTCGAGCTCCAATGAAGCTCTCAAGAAGTTGGAGCAGCAGCTCCTTGCGGTTCAGGAGAGAGCGAAGGAGCTGGAGCAGAGCTTGGCGATGGAGAAGTCAAAGTCTGCGGCCCATTCCGGGCCGAGCTCCAGTGACAGGGGGGTGGCCCAAGGCCACGGGCATGGACTTTTGCAGGTCTCGTCACGCGTAGAAAATCCTCCTGTTTCTCGGATGCCACAGGGTCCGAATCATACAGACAGGTATGGCTGGTCAGGAAAACCTGTCTCCAGCATTCTGGCTTTTACTGGTGCTACGATTTTGGCCTACTTGTTTTCTAGCAAAAAATAAGCTCATCCTGCAACTGGCAAAATTAAATCGGACAATTTTTTTTCCTAAAGCCGTTCACTGTTTTGCAATGTATGGTCTTGCTTGTGGCCGAGCCTTGTGGACTCTCGAAGATGGTCCACGAGGCGATCTTGAGTTCGTTCGACGAAACGCTCGTTCACGATTTCGATGTCGGCCGCACATCTCGTGCCATCTTCTGCTTTTCCCCTAGCGGAGAATCGCTATAAACAATGCGGCGATGTGTAACAAGAGGTTTAGAGGTTTGAAAAGTCTGCTCGATGCTTAGTTTGAACTAGCGGGTCCCCACGTGTAACATTCTTATCAATGTAAACAGGATTGATTAATAAGAAGTTAACACTTGACCATCAAAGTAGACGACTGGATATCAGATACTGTCTTTCTCTCGTAACAGTGTCGTGTATTAACTGCCTCGTGAGTGTAATTTGTTGATATCTCCCTAGCCTTGCATTGTCACAATAGAAAGGGGTTTTGAGGCTGAAAGTGGGCTTTTATTTATAAGCTCGGTTGAGTAATGATGATTTGTCCACGAATTAGAGTAGAAACAGGCACATGATGCTGGATGAGTGACTGCAGTAGTTGTAAGATTTGCAGCACGGGAAGAGTACACCGAGCGAGTCTCAGGGCTGTTTACTTGGCTTCAATTGTTTCAGTGGCAGCTGGTGGGAGAGTTGCTGTTGTTGTCTTGCGTTCCTCTTCCCTCATCGAGATAGGCATGAAGCGCAGCCGCTTCTTCCAGGGCCACATCGCTCAGGACACTGAGATTTGGTAATCTTGGATTATTTTGCGAGGTAAATTCTAATTAATCACTTCGTCATTTCCTACTCCCGGTGGATTTTTTTTCTCGTGATAGTTTTGTTTTATTTCGATGAACATGAGTTGGTGTTGAATCTATGCTGGGATTGCCTCATGCAGGAATTCCAGGTAAGTACGAGGAGAAATTCCCCGAGTTGTACATACTGGCCGCATACATTTTACGAAGCCCTGGATGCTACTGAATAAAAACTCAAGCGGATGAACCACCGTCTGGTGAGGCTTCCTCGATTTGTATTACAACGAGCAGGTGAATAAGCTACTTTCACTAAATCGGTCCTACGCATGAACAACAGGGGCATCTCTTGTCTTTGACATGGTAGCAGTCAAACGATATATTAGCTATCCACGTCTTCCTTTACCGTGTGTGAGTCACCACCTGTCACTTTCCACTTTTGAGACATTTCTAACTCCGTATTCTAGCACTCTACAAATATGTTTGGAGAAATTTTCCTCCTTTCACAGCCGGCTTTCTCGTTTTGATCCAGCTATGTTTTGAAAACTCCTGCAACTGTCGTTAGCTCTCAACTACGGAACTAGAGTATGGAGTAGACGGTCACGATTATCTCTTGCCCAAAACGAAAACTCACTGGCAGCTACGTTGTGCTCTCATGTACATAGATTGTAAAATAGAGCACACAAGACACCATTTTGCGTTGCATCTGCCCAGAACTTCTAGTTTACACTGTACAGATTAGAACTTTGAACTCTGTCTTACAGAAAGTATTTTTTAATCGACTCTCAATTTCGGCACTGATCTATGACTTCTAGTCAGAATGGTGTGAATTCTCTAAATTCACACTTGCGAATGTCTTCTTCGCTGATTGTCTATGTGTGTGAATGTATGTAATAGATGTTTCGTCGACCAAGAAAAATTCAGGGACAACGATAGATCTGATTTCAAAATAACTCTGACCGCATTCGTGGTTTTTTTTCAAAAAGAGCTTGTTGATCTGTGAATTCTAAATTGTCAAAGGGTAAGTATATATCGGATGTACAACACAGACAATTACCTATACTCTGCCTGAAAGACAGGTAAAGCACTTTAACAGTCATGCTGTTAGAAGTTTGAAGAGGATATATTCACTCACCATGCAAACTCTAAATTACTGTCTGGTTGCACTTGACTGTAAACTGGAAGCAAACCGTCACCCTTTACGTGCTCGCTCCGGCCACATAACAGATACAGAACTGAGAAAACAATCAATTGAATGGCACCGGGATAAGTAGACGGTACAGAATTGGCTACACGATGTCGCATATATCTCATCCACCGGGAATCCTGCCATTTTGATACGAGACAAACAAATTGCAATCATGTATAACTTGCTGGATTTAATTTCTCCACCTTGCCACTGACCCACACACACCCCATCCTACACTGACCTCTCTATACATTGAATGAAAAACCTAGTGAGCTATAGACCATGACGGGGATAACACATGAAGAAAACTGTATAACGAGACACGTGCTGCAAACCTGATAATTCTGAAGTTCTACTGTTCGCTCTCTCCTCTCGTTCCACCATATGCTTGGAAAATCGTCCAGACATCGTAGGCACCCAGGAGACTCTACGATTCAAAGGAAGAAAAAAGATGTTCAGGCTTTCTTGGATCATACTAAAATCAAATAATTTCCATTTTGGCATGTTCAATATGGTCTGAAGTTCTAGGCCAGATTATTTTACATATGTATCATCTTCCTCTGAAGGATAACGTTTATTCTTAGTGCTGTAGAACTTCAGAGGTTCGAGGTACTTTTTTCAAAGTCATGGGAACTAATTCAATAGTAGCTCGAAGTAGTGCATCTGATCCTTGCCTCTGAACAATATCAACATAGTTGAGATTCCTATGCTCCACCAAGGAAGTCCAAATACACTGCGAGAGTCACGAGAGTCCACATATTTCTGAGTTTCTGACGCCCCTTGAGACAAATCTCATAACTCTGCGGCGTCGAGGTCAGCTCACGCAAGGCCAAATACAGAATGCTTGGATTATTATGCGTACCTTTTTTGAGGCAAGAGTCGCAGTCTTGCGCATTTTGGGTATTCTCCCAAATCTCGTTCGTCCGGGTCCTTCCTCTTTCATCAGAGTTACTGGCCCGTTGACATTGGTCATTAAACCGAGACTTTCTCGCTAGTCCCCCAACCTTCCATTCTCAGTAATTGCCCAAGCGTTGACATTCTGCAACACGCCATGAGTTCGATGCTCGTCCACGTTCCAAGTTTCTAATGCCAATAGCTGAAGCTGAGTTCGAACCTTTCACGACTGGAGAAGGCCTCGTCTGCGGAGCGCTCATCGAGGGGACAGTTCGGTCCTCGGAAATTGACTGTGTGTAAATTCTGCTCGGTTCAATTTCGCCTTCGTAGCACAGTTGTCAGGGCATTACTTCTCCGTTTCTGAAGATACTTCAATCGGATTGCGTATCTCTGCTTGATTGCCCGAACGTAGACGTGCGCGCCTCATAAAGGGTGGACGAATTATGATCCACCCTCTCTGAAGAGCAATGAAACCACAACTCGATCACTTGATTGCAATGGGCACTCGAATTGTAATCGATACTAGCGTACAAAAGTTTTCCGACCACAGTAGCGAACAAAAAGGGACGAGACTTCACGCACCTGGATCGAAATTACACCAGCAACCTCGTCCACGAGAATCCGTTCCTCCACAATTTGCGGCACCGTCAGACTTCTGAGAACGCTGCAGCGGAAGGGCACGACAGAAGATACCTCCACAGAACAACTGATCAACGCCTGGTAGGGATTCCTCTCCACTGTATCTATCGACAATTAGAGATGTGACTCTGTTACGAGACATTCGGAAATAACCTGCGAGCTCCATGTGAAATGCTGCCAGCCCCAGTTGAAACTCTGTTCTCAGAATCCCAAGTCCCAAAGAGTCCGACGAAACGCCAACAATTCAAAGCCCAGCCCAGCCCAGCCCTCGAAAATCAACCGATGCAATCGAGGCACGACGACATAACCTCTCCTCGGCCAGACTCTCTCGCCAGAGCAGCACACGGGTACGACCTTCTCCGGCCGATTGCGGGCAACGATCCCCGCGTGACCATATCGAGACGCGCGGGATTGGCTCCCCTTTCCGATAAGAAAAGCGAGTCGAGCATGCGAAGGGCGCACGAGCGTGAGTTGACCATATCCTGCAGCTAGTCGGGTCACTCAAGCACTGGCACCTTCGAGGATCGCGTTGGATAGCTTCCCCTACCTAGAGGGCCCTAGCCTTTCCCATCGACTTGTTCGATTCTGCACATTCTTATCATCGTAGCTCCTGTCAGTGCGTAGCTCGCTCACTCAATCCTCTGGCCTGCGCATGAATCTGATTTCGAGCCTTCTGTGAGGTCGCATTTCCTTCCACGATATTCTACAGAGCAACCACCGACCGCGGTTACATGACTCTCACCCCTGGTTCGAACTCGGCACTCCGCACGGTTCTGAAAGCATTTTCCCCGTCCCCATCAAGTCCCGAATCTTTCCGTCCGTCCTCTCGCCCATGCGACCGGCGATGGAGAGCCTAGTAACGTCGGATCCTCTTCTTACAGTGACGAACCAGTGGAAGTTTCTTCGAAATTCATTGGACTACGCCATAAGAACTTACGGAGAAACTGCCTGCAACCTACCACCCGACTGGCTACCGACGGTAAGGGGACGGAGGAAAAGTGTGCGAACTTTGGCATTTGTGAGGGATGATTGTTATTATTTTTCCTCGACGTAACGTCACATAGTTTGCCACTGAAGGAACGTGCTCCTCTGAAGGAAATGGAGTCCAATTATTCGAGCAACTTTAGCTCGGAGTTGTTGGACCCGACGGCTGTCGAATCGCATTGAAGCGATGGGTGTACGAGTCTTGTTGCGTCCGATGTCGACCGCTATTTAAATCGTGTGACTGCGCCACATTTGAAGTCAAGCACAGGTACCGGGTGACGTTTTCTTGTTGGGAAGTCGCGCGTGGGCTTGCTTTTCATAACTACAGAATCGGATATTCTCACCTGCTTCGCAAGTCATACACGGGCGGTTATGGAGGGTTCTCCTTCAGAGGGTAATTTGCACAAATATGTAAATGTTAGAAAAAATTCTATATATATTGTAGTGGAAAACTGTTTGGTATGTTGAAATTATTTTTTAAAAAATCTTGTGTATATTTTACATAGAAAACTACATTGAAAACAAAGCTTTTCGAAATCATAAGATAAATACTTTCGACACCAAGTTTAATTTTTTCTTTTCAACAATGAATTATTATTATCTCAATATTTATTTTTAGAAGCCAAAGTAATTTTCCATCGTAATGTGTATAAATCACTAAAATATTAGAAAAGTATATCATTCTTAGCTATCATTATTTGAAAAATTTCTTCACAAAAAAACATCCTTAAAATTTCAGATCACTAAATTAGATGAAATATCAATATATTTTAGATGTCGATTTCGTTGGTTGATTTTTTATTTCAATATAATTTAAGTATCTCTTGACCTGTTAATTAATTATTAATATGGAAAATTTGACTGAATGTATATATATATATATATATATATATATTCTCTGGTTACATTAGGCATAATCAAGAAGAAATCTTCGTAGTCTTTACCTCCTTCTGTTAATTTGGTGCGATTGAATTCCTAGCCGGACATTCTTCTATCCAATATATTCTCAATCTCAAGTCATGTTTTGCATAAACTATATCATTGTTGGGTTTTATTTGTGGCATAGACATAGTCGACAGCAAACATACTAAATTAAATAGCATGAATCATTGTCGGAATAAAAAATCCAGGGGATTCTTATTTTCATACTTTTTAAATGAATCGGCAAGAAACTTTGTCCAAATATACATGTGCTCAGTCACAGCAATGTTTGGATTATGTGTTTTATAGTACTAAATTTTTTTTAAATGTTTTTGTTTAATTTCTCAAGATGACTAATCTAAGTTCATCCTTAGAGCTGGTTATAGTGGCCGGTTGTGCTGATTGCCAAATTATTTCTGATGCGACCTTTCCAGTACAGAAGCTGGAATAGATTGAGAGGGTACCAATAAGTGTTCTGAATTCTGGGTAGGGTAGAAGAGTATGCTCAAGTGGACCAGAGACTGGATGCAGCAACGGGTAGTTGAGGAACAATCAATTTCTGTCGAACCTCCAAAGACTAGAACACCAACCACATCGAAAACACTCGAAACGATGATGTCACCAACAATTCCTGCACGAATAGAAAGACCCTCTACGAGGCATTTCAAGCACCATCGCATGATTATTGTCAAAAATTTGTACAACGATGGCTGGCTGAATTCACATTTCCATGAGATTCTGCAACTTCAGGATGCAGACAATCCCGCGTTTGTGAGGGAAATTCTCTCATTATACGTGAGTGATTCACGGAGACTGATCAATCTGATGAATCGTCCACTGGGCATGGATACGGTCAATTACAAGGAAATTAGCGTCCACGTTCGAGGACTTCTCGGCAGCAGTTTAGACATCGGGGCAGAAAGAATTTCTAAGGCCTGTTTACGCTTGTTCAATGGCACTAAAGCCGAGAACAAGGAGGAAACCGTGCTGGCCTTGAAGCAGTTGACGTCGGAGTTCAACAAAATGAAACCGAAGCTTGAGCATCTTGTTCAGATGGAGCGACTCATTCTTCAGTCTGTACTATATCGGGGTTGGAATGATGGACATGAGAGCTCGCAAATTGGATGTGAGACCAAAAGAAGCCGTGAGGCATGAACTACGAGCAAGGCGAGTGCCTTACCTTCATCATTTTGCAAATCTGTCCTGGAGATTTGCTAGTATTCGTAATCGATTGTGACCAGAAGTGCTTTACAGTATTTGGCCCTCTACGTGCGCCAGCGGCTGATCATTTTAGTTTTCAGTGATTAAAAATTTGCACATGTTATTAGCTATTTATCACACGTTATTTATGACTTCAAGCATCACATAACTTTCAATGATAATCTTTTGAACGTTAGAAATTCTTCAATGCTATTTGATACCCGCCAAACTTTTCTTCAAAAGTTTTTTATGTCATCCTTGAGATTGAGATTTTCCTACTTATGACTATAAATTTTCATTCTCCAAATTCTAATGATAATTTCTAAAGTGAAAGCTCCATATTTCTATAATCATCATATCCTTCCACAAATGTCTTCATCATAATAAAACTGTAGCACAATTTTCATGTACTCTGTGTCTGATGTCTTGACAATGAACTAAAACTCGTATGGAAACCTAAATTATATAAGAATGAACCAATTAAATGATGCATGTATCACTTTTGTTGACATGATATATAACACACAAAAATTCTTATTTATACGTGTACCACAAGAAAAATATATTCTGATCACAAAATGAAGGTTCAACATATTGAATGAGTATACAATTGTCTCTTTCAGATAATTTTTGTCATATTTCAATCAAACATTTTGATTCAAAATTGATGTGGCGAAGACTGAAATTAAAATGCAGATGAAATGTTTCACCATTTCTATCAATGTGTGCTTATAATGACATGATTAATAAGGTTTAAGATATTCATTTCATCTTCTATGAGTGAAGTGGAGTTTCTTCATGCTTCACGATTCAATGGTATATACTGTGGTAATGAAAATTTCAATTCCATAACTATATTCATGGTAAAAATGACCTTGATTATCAGATGATCAAATTAAAATACAACCATAGACAAGTCGTATTTTTATTTCAAATTGGATTTTTATCCATTGATTAAAGTAGAAAGCCTGCAGTTTTCTGCTCACTCGTATGTTTGAAGTAAAAAAAATTCAGTCAGAATAGAAGAGATTTTCAATACTTTACCAGTATTTCAAATAAAATTACGGGGACTTTTTAGTTTTTGTCTGCAGTTCATGAATATTTCATTGTGGTTATTGTCATATCAATCATTCTTATTCTTCTATACCTTTTGGTCGAAATGTTTTCGTCAGGCAAGAGCTAAAATGACTCTGTCATACTAGAGTCACATTTATAAACTTCTTGCCTGCGTGATATCTGAACATTTTGATTTTTGCAAATTTTACAATTTTAGTTATAGAAACGTAGTATATGTAGTAGAAGAATAGATTAACAATTTGAAACGGATACATCTATCACTGAAAGAGCGTAGAGAATTCAGATAACAAATTTTACAAAATTGCGAGTGTATCATATTTTCACATTATGATTTTATCTTGAAACTTTACAAAATATCTGAATCTAAAATTGATATCTATTGATATACAAAGTGATCTTTATATCCATGTGAAAAAATAGATTTTTTAGTTTTGTTAAAAAACATAAATGTGAACCACATTTATCTTATATCATGTGAAATTATAATGACTTAGAATATATTTTTTGGAGTTCAAAACGTAAAAAATTTTGCAGCAAATATATGTTTAAAAATATTACACTGATATAATTAACCAAATACTTGCTGAATTAGATGTTATAGTGAGAAACATATACCTGAAAAGTTATCGTTTTAAATTGGTGATTGAAAAGTTAGTACTAAACATAGTCAGATAATGTTCTTTGAAAACTTCATGCACTTGATATATATTGGCATTACTCTTTGTTATTCCTTGTTATACTGGATCAAAATATGTATGATTCATTTTTATTCACTTGGCTGCTGTCATCAAATTTACTCATAAATAACATTATAAAAAAGAACAATTTCTTGTGGACTCCATGATCATAGATTTTTCAACAACAAAATATGAACCCTTACATACATAAAGTTCATGAAATTAGATTTCCAGTTTGTAAGATATTGTCTTACTGATATTTAGTGAAGATGTATACTGAATTATCATCAGTATTACATTATTTGAAAATGTAAAAATTTTCAAATCCCATTTAAATTTGAAAACCCATTTAAATTGTAAAAAAAAATCTCAAAGATGTTGATGTAAAACATTACATTTTAGCAAATAATACTCATGAAGATAACTTTGGTTATCAAAACGTTGATTGATAGGTTGTTTCATTGAAAGGTAAATAATTCTTTTGTTGCGTTGAGCAAGGTATCATTCTCAACCACTGAATCCTAGTTTACCAAAGCAGACATACAACTGTTGAAAACTCATGGAAGTGGTTGATAAAAAGTTTCGCTGTTTCTCAAAATCAAATTTATTTCCATTGAAGATATGGTGGTTCAATCGACTTTCGCAGGATCATAAATTTATGACTTGAAGCAAGTGTTTTAAAATAGCATTTCGTGCTCATGGTTTTCATGGCATATATGATAGATTTGTAGGCACAACCAAGAGATAAGCTACGTATACAGCTAATCAAATGATATATGTTGATAGTGATGGCCTTATGAGATTTTAAACATATTCAGTTTGTTTGCTAGAGGTTGATTAAACGATAAAGTAAATTAATTGCTGCTCAAATGACTATATGTATATCTCTATAAATATATATTTTTAATTTTATTCAAACTGATAACCCAATTTTGCATGAATGTAGATAGTCAAATTTGCACAATTTGGTAGAAAAGAATGTAGAATTCTCTTTCATATTGTTGAACTCGAGCAAGATTTGGTGTTTCTGATGATATAAATTCATATAAGATCTACATAGCTCTCTTTTTGATAGAACATTGTTAAGAAGAGGTTCAATGTCAAGCTCCAAAAGATCAGAGTATCTGTTATGATTCATTTAACTCTTGTTGATGGCTGAATGTAATTTCTCTTATAGACATTTCTTTTATTTACATCTACCGGTAATTACGACTATTATTACACATAAACATCAAAACACATTTCGTACCTATGAATATTCTACCTGGATGATTTATGGATTTTTGACAAAGAACCAAATACTAATTTTTCTAACAGACATATAAAGTTTCACTAGCAATTCAGATCAATACAATCAACCTGTTTTATTCCGGTATTCAGTACGTTGAGTATATTACGTTTAACAAGCACTGCATACTGCAAATATATAGTAATTTTTCTCATTAGCACATGTAAACAGCAGATCATTTCTAGATGAAATTATTTGTAATACGTTGAATACACGGATTAATGCTATCGACTAAAATATTCTTGAAATGTAGGATAATCCACAAGTACTTTGATAACATAATAATGTATTCTTGACTTCACTTTTCAAATGGACAATCTGAAAGACACACAGACTTGGAAAGGATAGCATTATGGATTGCGTAATCAAAACCTTATGTAATAAGCATGCAGTAGAATATTCATTGCAACTCAGTACGCTCTTTCGTCTTAACATGTTTCTCAGAAAGCCTTCAAGTAAGGGTTGGAGTCACAACAAAATTTTTCAAGTCATGCCCATGTTCCCTTTCAAAGTCAAAAGGCATGCCCGTATTACAATACGTACGTTTGACTCATCAGAAAATGTACTTCTATGGAAATAAAGCACTCTTAGAAGTAGAGTTGTCGAAAAGCTCTGAGAGATACATATAAATCTGCTAATCCATATAGGCATGCCTTGTATTGAAGAATGTGAATGAGGAATGCCCTTTGAGGTTGTGCTTCCAACCCTACTTCAAGCGCATTGTATTGCTGACCTTGTTCAGTATGTAAGACCCTTCAACTAATAATCACTCAACAGCTGTTTGTCTTCTCATTTAGTGTTGTGGTCCAATAGAGTCATCCAGATTTCATGCTGGATGCTCTTGCTTTCATGCATGCAGCATTTTCGACCCTAAATTCGACCTTTAATAGATGTATTTATATAAATCTGCCATTATCAAAGTATCAAATTTACTTTCGAGTTCAAGATATCTACAGACTTTCAAGTAGCAGAACTTCTCAAATTTGAAAGAAGATAAACAAGAAACATTTTTGGGACTGGTACATTATAAAGGACGGTTAACGGTCCATATCGTACACATTAGAACTGTTGGATATGGCCGATCAACTGCCATTGAAGCGTTCCTCCATGCACAGAATAGATCTGTCTCTGATGTCTCAGGTGAAATCCTATTTCTGCAAAGCCCTTTCGGATTTAGACAGCTACCTCTAGAGTAGCCTGATCACCATGTCTATGTTGAAACTCGATGTGATAGCCATGGTTCTTTCTATTCTTTCCCAGCCGATCGTGTGATCTATAGATCAGACGATCAATAGATCTGGTTGATCTTACATAGATCGCAATGTTTTCGAAGTGGAAAATGTCTATTACCAGCAGATTTGTATTTGCAGATTCAGAAGCAAATAGATTCCCTGCATGCTTTGGTTTTAGTATTTGTACCATTCTCCAGTTTTGGTACTTAGAAGCTGGAAGCTTTCATGAAGCCATTGAGTGGGTCCATCTCGAAGTGGAACCCATGTGGTGGTGGTTCGCCTATAGGCTGATGGTGATGGACAACAACGTGCCCATCGATACGATGTTTCGTTACAATTTTTAGGTCTCCATATTGAGAGTTGGACACCCAAATATTTACGGAGAAGGCTTTTGAATGGTATGGATAACGGTTATTCTCGGCTTCTCCGAAGTTCGCTCGATTGCCTCGCTTTCGAACTTGATGTTAAACATCTCAACAACAATTGCAATCAAATACAAGTGTTAAGTTTCGTGTTTCTGTGATTGGCTGTATCCGATTAGTCTTATGATTCGATAGTGGGTTCGTGATTGATTATTCGTAGCTTTTTGTCCGACGATCACTTTCCATTTCATTTATTTAAGTAAAGCTGAAGAACTACAAAAAAAACTCCTATGATGAAGGTTTAGACCTGCTACGCTGTCAAATCTAAATTGCGTTTCTCGAGTCCTTTTTCAATGTCATGGTGGCACTCATCATTTCATGACTTTTAACTTGTAAGTTCATCTGTCTGCTACGTCTTAATTGAAATAAAAATATTGCAACTGCTGCAAGAAGAAACAAGTATTTTTAGTTTCTTTCTTACTTTCTCAGTCGATTGTTTAATCACATGCTTTTGATTTCGATGGTGAATCTTACACCAATATCTTCTTCTTGATGTCTGTAAGTGCATCGTTACTTTCTTGGTTTAGTCAGATTCATGTTAGAGAAATACAACTTAGGAAGAAATCTACTCTTACGAATCACCTTTGATCTCTTCAAATTGCACAACATGATCTTCATAAGATCTAGCATATGGATCGATCAATCAAGTTTCTTTTCCAATTCGATCTTTTGCCAGGGCACGCTGGAAGAACAATTTCGTTGTAGTTATGTGAATCCAATCGATTTGTACTTGGATACTACTTTCAAACGCACATTTACTTGAAGAATTTGTCGTCCCAGTCACACCAAAATGACATGTGGTAGTTGCAATACAGCCTTAGTTGAGTTACACTTAATCATATACTCCATTATAGATCAATAGAAGTTTACGAAAATCAATTAAAAGTCATCAATTTTAAATAGACTGATGGTAGTAATTATCAAAACTAGAATCTAAAATGGTTCAAACTTTTGTATCATATCAACAGTTTTAGGTCTTTTCTCTTCCCGGTTGAAGTTGAGTAGCGAACTGATTTCTTCGCCGCTTCATTTCCTACATTTCATGTAGCTGGAACCACTTTCTTCTCCATAGACTTAACCTTGTACTGACATATTCTTGTCGATTTCCAGGTATCGACAGTGTTCTCAGGCGAAGATTGTAGAACATTCAGGGACTATGGAACTTTCAAATATGTCCTCAATTCTCGAACAGCACAAGGAAAACGTTGATTGTGAGATGACAGAATCTCTAGTCAATCTTGATCATTACATGGCGTTATCTGCGATTCAACAAGTCTCCTACAACTGCTCAAGCCTTTCAGCCCTAGTAAAGGTAATAACCATACATTCGAGTATTATGCAAAGTATTGATGCTCCCAGACAACTCATGTGGACTTTCTGTATGCTCTACAGGACCATAACTATTCTCCGACGTCAAATTTGGAGAGTATAGATGTGAATCAACTATCACCTGACAGTGACAACTCAGATTACTTGGAGCCATCCAACATGAGCAGTAGCATGTTGATGGAAATGCAAGAATTATGGCCAAATTATGGAAATTTTTCAACCGGACTTTCTGTCCAGTCACCGCAGTGTCTGGCTCCATGGGAGCCAATATTCAATCCAGCACCACCTCAGGAACTCGTAAGTGAGAATTTAGTTCATTTAACAAACGTGAGTCAGACAGTGCCAACCCTATCATTCGATGGGAAGATGGGTACCAGCGAAAACCTTCTCCAAACGGGGAATGATGTCATAATTCAAAACTCATCATTTCCAACAGCATCACAGGCGAACTTGGTTGGGACTGCTATCAGGATACCAGATGAGAACAGGTTTGTGAGGAGCTCCACAATCCTACCAGCAGCAGCATCGTTGGTAGAAAATCGAGGCAGCAACACGTTTCCTGAAGCGTCAGATTTGAGACCGCTGAGTAAGCAGACTCGCACGTCACCTTATCCATCATCAGAGGAGAAGAGGGCTGTGCATTTGGTCCAACTTGTAAATGCTAACCAATCAAAGATGCACACTCCACCATCACATAGTGCGGGGTGGAAAAGGCCTCAACACGTATACTCTTCTCTTGGCCTCGACGGAACTTCAGCCCCAAGTTCAGAAATGATGGATTCCGCCTCACCCTTTTTGCTTCCGAACCCGAAGATCCGTGGTGATTTTTCAAAAGGAACTCTGGGACAAGCACCATGCATGAGTGGCGAGAAGGGGAAGGAAGCCACCTCTTCGTCCAAACCAACTAAACCTCCGGAATATCTGGTAGGGAATATGGACGGATACGGCAATCCGATGGCGAAGAATAACAAACTGAAGGAGAAGACCACGCAAAAGAAACCAGATGCTTCGATTAAATGCAGATCCCGTTCACGACCCGGCGTTTACACAAATCCACGGAGCATCATAGAGAAGGTAAATATACAGCTTATCTTTGTACTTGTATGCATAATCACCCAGATTTATGACCATAGCCTTCTAGCATGATGGCATCAGAACATGGTATTATTTACTCTGGATTTATATCGTCTATTTCGAACAAGTTTTGAAAATAGAGTTTTGTGTCCAGACCAGAAGGCAGCGCATCACCGAGAAGTTGAGAGAACTCCAGGAACTGGTACATTCAGTAAAAGTAAGTTGTCCGGCTTTCGATAAATTGGTTGAAGTGGACATGAGAAATCAGAGTACTTAGTTCCAGCACTTGCCTCCAAGTTTGTTTCTGTTCAATGTGAGGACTGATATCTATCATGATATATGTCTCTACAGCCAGACAATACTGTCTACATGTTGGACCAGGTTATAAATTACGTTGAGGGCCTCGAAAATCAGATACAGGTAAAATGAACTTTCTTTGAACTTTGATTGCTGCTTCAGTAGGTTATCAAACTGAAAGAACATTTAGCGTAAATTTTTCCAAAATCCAGCTTATTCCTCTAACGCTGATCTTTGTTTGAAGGTTCTATTAATTCAAAAGGGTGAATATTGGAATATGGACTTCAGTTCCATGTTTCAAAGCGCTTCTGATGAAAGTGAGCTGCTGAAGTCTGGCTCGTTCGAACGTGGATAACATTATAAAAAAGTTCTTCTCTAGGATAGAAGTTGCGTTGTTGATCTGGTTCCTTAGAATGGGCCAGGTTGCAGGAATTCATGATGAGGCAGTTACTTATGCAGGGACAGACGAGGCTACTAGATATTTTCAGACATTACAGGAAAATTATATATTGAGATTTCGTGAAATTATGACTTCGTTTCCAGCAAATGCAGCCCAAGTGAAGGTGCAAATAGATGTGGAAACTGCAGTTGAAGACAGACTGCAATTTCCTTCCAAGTGCAATATGCACTATGTTTTCGAGTTGTTATTGGGCTTTGAGCCCTCATTCCAATAGAGTCCAAATTAATATCAAACCATTTGACAGTTCATTGTAAGTGTGGAGCGTTTGGAGAAGCAAAAAGCAACGTGGAGATTTTGTCAAAGGTGGACATTCCCCATGAAACAAAGCAAAGTACTTTCAACAGTTCCACAAACTGCTTAGCAAGGAAGCAACAAATGTGTTGTTCACCTCTTTAGAACAGATTGAAGAATTTTCATCAATCCATGATTCAATAAAATTTATATAAGCAGTGCCGTCTTCTCACGTTTTCATTCTCACTAGAGATATATTCATGCCATTCACCTCATAGCTTTGGACTCTTCCAAAGTTTTACAAGTTCGTTTGCCGCTCAAGCATTCTTTGATCAAACGTAGCATGCACAATTAACAAAATGCCACCATTGCAATATTTTAATCTCATTTTTTATTAATCTTGATCTAGGGAGCGTCTTGATACACAACCAATTTTCACCTTGAACCTTCACTCCCTTCAAGTTTTTCAAACAGTCCGAGATCCCATTGTGCAATTCAGTGGCACATAACTTGTGGATTGTGGACTGAGAAAGTAAACTTATTGTCAGATCTCCAAGTGTCACCACATGTATAATTAGTCTCGCGACCAGAAGTTGTTGAACGTGGCATGGACTTCAACATCATATTTTAGGTAGAAGGAAAATTTGTAATCAAAAAATGATAAAATAATGATTTTTATTAGGATTTGATCTTTTGGTGTTAATAATTAAAAAAGGGGCCACAAGTTTCATTTTCAAATGTTTAAAACTCATAAGGGAATATATCTATATATTCTTTTTTTCAAACACATATCTATGTAATCCGATTTCTGTTAACATTCAGTAAAATAGTTGTTATTCGTAATTAAATTGAAAGCTTGATGTTATGGATTGAACCATCATCGTGAGCCCAAATCGAAATGAATTTTCTACAAAATGTAGATGAGCTTGAAATATAGTAATCGTGGATTCAATATGTCTCGCTTTTGTCATGACCGATTACTAGAAGGACAGAGCTGTAATACTAAAACACGTAGCGCGATTCCTGACTCTCAGTATCGTTCTATATTTGAGTATTACCGGACGGCATGTTCATAAAGGGATCCATTCCGTCGACCATTCTTCTTACACCCAAGAAATGAAGACGCAAATACCATCCAACTTTCACAAATGTAACCAGTTTGCCATTCAGGTATTTTCAATCTTACATAAAAAGACCTTCCAAACTCCATTATTATAACATGACCCAATATTGGGAATTCTTCAAGCTCAAATCTACATCTAGCGAATGAATGTAGTATATGAAAAGGATGTGAAAATATTCTAACTTTGAACTGTCATGACTGATTGAGAGAAATTGAGCTCGACAGCGCATGGACCATTCTAACCAAGACTCTAGTTGGATCACATTGTAATCTACATTCTGAATGTAACTTTATATTGGTAAAGGTTGTGTATCCATCCCATCGCACTAGAAAGTCACAAAATTTATGCATCCCCTTTGGCTTCATCTCTGTAGGACTTGATGAGATCTTCGCAACCTTTTTGCTCGATGTCTTGGTGCTCAAACATTTCTGGAGTGACCAAGGGAACGTCCTGAGTGAACACTAGCGCTGCTTTGACCATATGCTCAGTCGTGCATCTCGCCATCTAGCACTCGCAACTTCATTGAGCCGAGACAAGAGCTCCTTCACGAAGCCGTCGCAGTAGACCTCCACTTCATCCGTACTATAGCCCCGAAGGACGTCACAGACATAAGACTCGATGACTAAGGTCGCACGCAAACCGTGATCCAGCCTTGCATGCAGCGAGGTGATGGATTGATAATTTCGGCATCTGTGCTCACCTCCTACCACCCGGAAGCTGGCAACACGATTGTCCTCGTCCATAATCTCACATCGCTCCACGGAGTATTTTGCAGCGATACCCGATCGAATGACGCACCTTCGGATGCTCCCAACGCCTCCCTCTCCCTTTACACGGTGGCAGCCAACAATGTGTAATTTATAAGGCATGGGGTTGAAGAAGTCTTTGATAAAGGACCACACTACTTCCGGAGGTGCGTTCACCATCTTAATATGTGCACGAGACGTCTGATCCTCGTGAACCTCCTGACTGTGGTGCTGTCTCACAAATTGCTTCTCCCATTCCGACAAAACATTCTCGAACTCACGCAATATGATGTCTGCGGTGTTGGTAGGAGGTCGAGAGTCCCTTTCATGATCCGACGCATCCAGAAGGGCCGCAATCGCCAAGCCTGCTGGCCCTCCCTGCTCTTCCATCGCCAGTCTTTCCGAGGCATTGTCAGCAATCACGTTCGATAAGAGCGCTCCGATCTCGTACTGCATCCGTGCCGGCCGACCAGTCAGCCTTCTCGGCACGGGCCGATATACCACCGGTCGGATTGGCACAGGCGGAATTACCACTGGTCGGATTGGCACAGGCCGAATTACCACCGGTCGGTGTGCCTCGTGGATCTCACGCCCACCATGCACACGATGATGGGGACGCGGTGGTCGTTCCTCGTGTCGTTCCTCGTGTCGCTGTGGCTCGAACTGGGCCCTCGCCTCGTGCACCTCCACTCCGGGCATCGCCACATTCTGGACTCGATGAACATCGATTCGCAACCCTGGGGCCCTCCGCTCCCCCAATTGAGGCATCTCCTGGTCCTCGTCCTCGACTTCTTCCTCTTGTCCTCGCTGCGGCTGCGCATGAGCCATAACTGCAGTAGTCCCAAGTCACACTGCCTGCTGCAAATCCTCCAGCTGCTGCACACAGATCGATCGAACCGCGAGATTCTGCCCTGACGAAGTCTCGAGTGATCCAGATGCAGAGTTCCTTCGATCGCTCGAGAATTGTGAATCTGAGCTCTAGCATGGCGCACTAAGGGTCACGGGAGTGCGTGCTCCGGAGCTTTTAAGGCCATCGAGGCCCTCCATAGCTCCGCAGCGTAGCGCTCTCATGTGCTTCAGCCCCCAGCGTCTAGTCGAGGGCTTACCGTTTCCCCCAGGATCGTCGACGAAGTCTAGTCAAGGGCTTACCGTTTCCCCCAGGATCGTCGACGAAGTCGTTAGCTCGGTGCGATTACGAGCCTGGCCGCTCGATCGTTGGGCCCGAATCATTTCAAACTTGCAATGTGCATGGCAGTTCAATCTCTTCTACTTGCAATCATGAATTTATTAGTTTTCAAGGTTTGCAGCTAATCTACGGAAAAGCCTCAAAACCAATCTTAATATTTCGATATAAGGAAATTGAGTTTGTGAATATTTATGGATATGTGCACTGCTCTGAGCTCTTATTTTACTTGAAACTCGCCCGGCCGTTTATGAACTAGTTATTCCTATCTCCAGTTTCTCCCAAACTTTCTTATCTATATCCCTCTGACTTTCCTGGAGTTTTTATTTGGCTTCAATTCAAGCAGATTTGATTATGACATCAAGGAGCTTGTTCAGCTCAGATTGTGTCGAGGTTTTATGAGATCGTTCAGTCCATGGATCCTCATAATTTTAGTAGCTTCCACACTCCTATCACATAGTGCGAGCGGGAAAAATCCATCAAATCATTATCTCTCCAGCTATCAAATCACAGCTCAAGTTTATAAAACTGTCGATAATTAAAAAGAGTGATATGAAACGAGTCTAAATTAAACAAGTTGTGTATCCAGTTATGTGAAACAGATGAGAGACCTTCTTGGGTCGGAATGATTCGAAAGCATGCAGAATAAGAGTTATCTCCTCATCCACGGCACTTCCGTCACGCAGATTTACTGATTCCGGTAACGTGGTTACGTAGGCTACGAGTTTCATCACTATAATTGTGCTCATGGTTCCGCCGTCAAATATCCACGCAGCATTCGTGTTTGGGGAGTGACGCGTAAAGAGAGCTCTGGTTGCTTGCGTCAATTCTGCCCATAGCCTAGTCATTAGTGGGATAGAATTCAGTACTATCACACCAGTTCCATCCATGTCACATAACGCGTTGTGGAGGATAGAAGTTTTCAGGTAAATTCTCAAGGGAACTACGTGTTGACTCTTTTCATAGCTAGCATTATTCGTTTTTGACCGGTATTTTTTACTTTGGATTATCACTGTACGATAGATGGCGAAATGCCAATTTTTTAATCATCAGTGGATCTTCATACGCACACCTATGATAAACTTTTTTCTTCACTTTATTCCTCCCCTACTTCACCATGACAAAGCCCATCTCAAAATCCTCCACTACTTTCACATCATGCAAAGTCATAAATTGTTCCCATATGATGTGAGTCACTGTTTTAGTGTATTATTAATCATCCTGTAAATATTTCCTGCATGAGATAGAAAGGATACCCATTTCTCCACTAGGCTAACTCTTGTATCAAACCGCTTATTTTATCCAAAACTTGGATCTAGTATTCATAACACAAATAATGATATTTCTCGATGAAAGGCATATATCCCATAAACGGAGGTAGCTCTTCAATCTAAAGAGAGTTTTTTCCTTTCCCTAATTTGTGCACACTCTTAATCTTATCGCCATTCTAGATTATGGTACTCGCAAATTCGTGCAAACTCTTCACTTCTCCGTTAGTCCAATCCGACTGGGGCGTCCACTGCCATTCATATCTACATGTTTTGAGTATATAGAAAAATACCTCCGCCTCTCCCCTCCGAATTTACTATTGTTGCTCAACGGGGTTGCTCGATGATCGGCTGCTGGTTAATCCTTCGAATATGGCTCGACTTTTGGTGCTCTTCGGCATTCTGAGCCTCGAACACAATACAATGATTTGGTACTCACTCCGATTGAGCGCCTGCACTCCTGGTCGGCACAGCTCAATCAGTTATTTGGAAAATTCCATGAGAGTGAATCAGATGAAGTAACACCAATTTCGGTGGTTTGAGCAGATTCACAACTTCGATCCATGTTGAACTCAAAGCATTCCTATGTGGAATAAAAGGTATGTCAAACCGAGACACTAGATGTTGAAATGAATAATTTCTCAGATCAGAACGAGTCAAATGCACAAAGAGATTAGGTTTTATTTTGAGTCCAGTCACCACTCTACGATCTTCGTCATCAATAATCTCTCTGTAACTGAAACTGAGCAACTTGACTCAAATCTATGCATCTGCACTATACACGCAGTTGAATGACTTCGAGGAGTTCCAAAAAGAGTTCAATTGGAAAGCATGCACAAAAGTTGTGAACAATGAACTAACTTTTATCTTTTAGGACCCAAGTGAGAAACCAAATAGTTGAAGATAACTAGATTCCACGCGAGGGTCAGGCTTTCTACTTCATATCGTTGGGGCGCAGCCGAATAGCCTCAATGACCTCTTAGTGTGGTTAGGGCTCCGATCGGTTCGGGTTGGGTTTTACCTTCGACCCGAAAAACCGGGTCGATTCGGGTAGAATCTGGAAAAATATTCACAGGACCAACGACATAACGAAGCGATTGTTTGTCATCTCGAAGCACAGAATTGCACAGAACAGGATTATATCGCATTGACCGTGGCTATCAGTTCTAGCATGACAATACAAGTGCTGTGGACAAATCAATAGGTGACGTGAACAGATAATAATTGGAAAAGAAAATTCGCGTCCAAAAATTACGTTATTTGGATATGTTCCTGGCATGCACTATATCTGCATGAAATTTGCCAAGCTGCAGGCGTCATATGGAAGCATCGATTGCCATCACGGCGTCCAAAATAGATTTTGAGCCTTCAAGAAGTCGCTCGTGTTCAGGTTCGTTCCACAGTAGTATCAAATTCATTTCTAAAAATGCGTTACAGGACACCTAAATCTTCTCTACCCAATGACCCTCATCCAGCATGGAATCGAAAATGAAAAGCCATATAATTTGCAAAGCCAAAGGAAATGTTCGGGCTCCATATCGTCGTTGCACGAGTATCCCACAATGTCAGCAATTGCACGGAGCACAAAATTGCACGAAATGGAGAAACACCCTTCTCTAACATGAAAGACCCGAACATGTAGTAACCACGCTCCATGCAAACCTGTGTGGGCTCCTGGCCCCTTACATACTGCGAGACAAGTCACAAATCTTCACAGGTTTGGAATCGTTGTGGAGTATCGGAGGTCAAAAGTACGAGTAGCTCATGTTTTGTTTCTTCTCTCTCAACTTCTCACAAAGCATGACTGGAGAAGACCGTCGTCCAACATCTGCATAATTTAGAATAGTTGCTTCAAAGTATTGATAAAAGCTCCTAAATGGTAGCATTATTAATTTAGATGATACCATTAAATTAATAATGCTACCATTATTAATTTAGAGTTTTCGGGTAGGGTATAGCCTTTTACCCAAACCCGACCCAACCCGAAGTCGGGTTTTATCCGACCCCGATCGGAGCATTAAGTGTGGTTATAACATTGCTAGTGTACTTTAGTCTAACTCTAAACTCCAGCAAACACTTGCTGTGTTGATGTTGTAGTAGTAGATTAGAGATCAATATTTTTAATAAAACTGTGTAGCTAGGATTCATACGATAGATCAATCTTGCAAGTTTCTTGTTGAAACATGCATTGTTGGATGTGATCAAAAAATCTACAAATATCAAATGATGACTCTCTTGTACATTTGCATTGATTAATAGATTGAAAAAATTGGCAAAAATTGTTTTTGATAGTACAACCAAAAACTTGTTGTGATTCCAAGCCTAGCTACGATTTGATTGATGAGTGCATAGAGGTTTGTAGCATCTTTGAGAATCGTTCTATGATATGCATGTCTTCAACTCTACTTTCAAAATCTAAAATACATCGATGCAAGACATGATAATCTAATATTCCGAGTTTGCCATCGGCATCTCCTCACCATATTCACACATTTCACGATGACAATTTATAATGCACTTCTTGACCAAGGTATAGAGACAATGAAATCTTAGATTTATAACCTCATCTGTTTTCTATCCAAGTGATATTTTTGATTGATGTCTGAAGTTAGTTGATGATGATATTGTTGTTGCGCTCTTAGTTTTTCCATTAGAGATATGAAAAAAAATGATGGACAATGAATCTAATGATGTGAGATGTTCTTTCGGCAAACAAAAAACATCTTTCCACGATCCATAAGATTCTTCAAAGCACATTTTATCCTTTCTAGCTCCACCAAATTGCGCTTTCTCTAAATATGTACACTAAAAAACATACACATGTCAAATGCATCCTTTGTTATAAGTAATTATGGATATGTTATAAATGACTTGATAGGACTAAATTACGTCTAGTCAATCTGTACCAATGGACGTCTGTGAGGCGACCTCTGGGTGTTCGCACCAACCTTGTGGAGGAGCACTTGGGGGTGTGGTGGAGAAGGTCGTGGCCGAGAGCCGATAGGATAGGCACGCTAGTAGCCGAGCAAGTAGCGAGCTCGCCACTATGGAAGCTAGTAGCTAGCATGGTAGTATATAAGTGAACTCTGTGTACTCATTTGAATCAACCTTCACATACTTTCTTGGACTCTTTGCTTGCATCTTTCAACAGGTTATGGGCCCACGCTTCTGATAAGGAATCCATCATTCTCATGCTCAAGTTTTTCGTTCTAAAGCTTGACTCTATGAGAGTCACGGTAAAGCAAACTCAAGGACATGGTGTCCACCGACCGAGCTCAGCTGGAGCTTTTGAACGAGAAGAACTTCCAAACGTGGAGGATTGACATGGAGGCACTTCATGGCGAGCGAGCGGTCAAAGCACATTGACATCATGTATCATTTTGCGAGGGAGCGGGTGATGATCGATGAGGTCAAGTTTGAGTACTGCCCGACTTACAATATGCTTGCAGATTTCTTGACCAAGGTGCTGCCAGCAGTACATTTTGAGAGGCTGAAGATTTTAGCCGGGATCCATTAGTGGAGTGCACGGTTGCATTGTAGGAAGAGTGATGAGACCCTGATCAGTAGCAAACTCGCTATTGTAGCATGTGCATCATAGTAGGTCATATTGACTGTCCGCAAGGAAGTGTTATAAGTAATTATGGATATGTTACAGATGACTTGGTAGGATTAAATTACGTCCAGTCAATCTGTACCAATGGGCGCCTGTGTACCGGAGCCAATAGGATAGGCACGCTAGTAGCCGAGCAAGTAGCGAGCTCGCCACTGTGGGAGCTAGTAGCTAGCATGGTAGTATGTAAGTGAACTGTGCGTACTCATTTGAATCAATCTTCACATACTTTCTTGGACTCTTTGCTTACGTTTTTCAACATCCTTACTCTTTCTGTTGTTGCTATTTCTTGTGCGTCTTAGAGTACGTTGTAGAAAATATATTCAACCTCATAAGACTACTCTTCTTTACTTCTAGCAGACTTCTTTCACATCTACGATACAAGAGAATTTATTATGCAATCTATGCAGCAGGTTGCAACCTAACTCTCCCATGGATGATGAATGCAAGTCCATCAAAACTTCCTTTCCACTAAAAAGTTACGTAATCTTGTTTCAAGGTCTTCTCCACAATTGTAGTTGACTATCCAGAGCTCTTTCATCTTCTTCCCTGCCACATGATTAATAACTAATGCTTCAGAGCAACTAAATTTGAGATTGTTAGACAATCTAAGAGAAAGCTCAAACTCAGCTATGAAAAACACTTTGCATCTGTTTGTTTTTTGGCCTATTTCCTATAACGTCTCAGTAGATTCTAAGGAAGCATGTACAGTTTTGTTGCATTTGAGACAGACGACAATGAGACAACCATGTGACTGAAAGGAATTGGAGTTTATTCAGTGTATCATGCCAGTGAAAACAATCTCACCCCTAGTTACTCCGACTGCACAGTTGCCTGAAATGTTGAGCGCAATGAATTCAGTTTTAGCATTATGCATCAGTCTAGTGAACTATTGGACGGTGTCTTTGCCAATGTCACATCTTCCAATATTGATATTCTGCAAGTTTTGAGTTTTTGCAAAATGAGTGAAGAGGGAGTTATTCAGTGATAATGTGCTCACACTTGCAGCGTTCTTTAGACATGTACTATGTCAACCTGATCCGTGCAAGCTGGTACTCATCACCTCCATACAAGTAGTGTGCAAGCATTTTCTCACTATAACATCTGTACTTATGATATCTCTTAGAACAAATTTAGATTCACATTAAAACTGATACAATTTAGACTTTTTAATCCTATAAATCATGTTTCATTCATTTTGAAATTAGGTAGTTAATTCCATAATAACTGTTTCATTCATTTTGAAATTAAACACTATTTTTGTGCAATGAATATCAAAGCCCTAGCGCCTTGGCGTTCATTGCACAATTTGTATTTTTTTAGTATAGTCTACTCTCTCTATATTTCTCTCTCGCAACTACACTGATCTTCTATGCTGTTCGGTTTTATACATTCTATATTATTTGTTATGTAAATCTTATTTATTTATTTTTTCAAATTACATGCTTATCATGTTCGTACTCTTAACATTATGTGTATATGAATATTGATTTGTGCTCTAAATGAAGTTATTGCTTAAGTGCGCAACTAACTCTACTATTCTCACTAATCCTACTATTCTATGTTTATTTTAATCTCGTATGATCTACTATGTGCACCTTTTATTCAAATGACGATGGATTCATTTTTATTTACTCAACTTCATTATCTGGATTTAAAAGCGAAGAGTGTAATATTTATGGATTCACAACCAACCTCATGACAAAGATTGGAGATACCACAAGGATGTAAAAAAGAGTACCAGGTGTTAAATCCAAGATATAGCAATGTTGTTATCGCTCGTCTAAGAAGGGTTGTGAAAATTGTTATAGTGCGAAGTGTGTATATTGTGAAAAATTGAAGTATCATAAACTACATCGCTCTACGTTAGATTCAATAAGTAAAGTTGAATACATGCGCATTGTAAAGCGATTATTAAAGAGTTGATGCATTTCAACACAGTTTTCAATTACATAGCAACTAGATTTTGAGTCAAAGCTAACTAACGAGACTTCCATCAACAAAGATATTTTCAAATTGATGTAAAATGATTATCATTTTCTAATTAATAAAAAAATCTGTAAACTTGTTAAACCCATTGCTGATAATATAATTTGTTTTGAGAAAAATTTAACCACGTTAGATTAGGTTTTTGCCCAATTTATCAAACTATACACTGTTGTGAAAGACATCGACGTTACCAAGATTTGTAGCAATTTCAATGGTCGCATTATCAAGATTATTCAAAAGAGAGCTTGTGAAATTGATCATCCGATCTATTTTGTACCTCTTTTTTTTAATATTCAATATCAATCGGTTGTAATCTCTAAAAAAATACATACCATAACATTCAAAAAGATGTTGTAAATCTTGCTAAAGTATGTGGATTCACCAAGACAAATATAATATCACTCCTAGCATAGATGAAATATTACATCAGTCGGAATAAAGTTTTCAAAAACAATCCAATCAAAGCAATGAAATTTTGAAAATTTGTTCTTGGTGCAAATGCTTTGCGTGTTTTTGTAATGAAATATTTTCTATTGTTACTCATATTACTCCAATGGATAGATTGATTTCATAGTTTTCTCTATCAAAGTCAAAAATTCTCAATTATATGAAGATGTTTGTTATTTTTATATCAAGTCTTAATCTTTATTCAAAACCAAATTCAACGTACTTTTCATTGTTTATATTAGAACCAGAAAATTCATTAAATATAAAATTTGAAGACACAAAAAACTCAATATAACTAATTTTGAAAATTCAAAATTTATTTATGAGGAGTATGATAATTATAATCAAAATTATGTTAGATGCAAAAAAAATAATCTCTGGATCTTAATGAAGCAAAAATGGAAAGTAAAATGGTAGATAAGTAATGAAAATTTAAAAAATAATAATTAAGATTAGAATGTAAAATATTTATTATTTTAAAAATATGACAAATAATTTTATATGAATTAAAAATTTCATTCATGTAGATATATTAGAAAAATATTTCCTATATATAGAGAATCATGACTTGGGAAGGCAAGATGGGCATGACTTTGAGCCTACCATCATGTCGGGAGGGCCCCTTGCTCGCGACTACTTTGCTGTCGGGCAAAAAGGGAATTAGTCGATGGCCAAACTGCGTGGCAAAACAAGTATCCTCGATTCAGCGACGCGATTCAGCAGTCGTGGTAGGCAACAAGGACCGCAAGTCCTGGCACAACTCCCAGTGGAATGTTGGTCGAGGGCACCTTCTCGACGATTCTCGTTCCCAGACAGAGAGACTGACGACGATTCTGATCCCGTTATGAGTATATTGCATGACTTGGTCTGCAATTCCAGGTCCTGAAGTCCGACCGACGTGACTGCGGTTGTCACTTTCTTTTTGAAGAAGATTCTTTAGCTCGTGTGCTTCTTCATCATTCCTGATATCGATTCCTGGTCACTTGATCTGAATCGTCGTCCGCCGCAGTGAGAACAGTAAGAAACAGGCTAGCTGGGTGACAAGACCGACAGCAGCACTCCAGTCTCATGTAATCTTGGCTAAGGATGCTGATTCCCATCGGAACGAGGTTCATTGTCCATGCTCGATGTGATGGAACTTCAAATTTGCAAAATGGCGTTTTTCTTAGATCTTCAAAATCGATGCCTTACGATTGCGGATGGAGCACGCTACGTCTTGTGGACTGACAACATAAGGTACACTCTACAACTGCCTTGGGTACCAATTCTGCTGCGTATTTTCCGGATAAATAAAACATAAACCGACTTGCAGGATGAAGAAAAAATGAAACGATTCTTGATAATGGCCTCTCGAAACTCTCAACCCAAATTTCTGTCCATTTTATTTTATATGGCATTATGCTCAGCTGCCAAATTACATGTACTCGCTCTTGTCTGTTCGATAATAATAAGATACAAGGTTTGTACTAAATCGATGTTTCCTCGAGTAGACTTGATGACTAGATCTCATCTCATTTTTCTCCATGATAGCTGGTACCACCCTGAAACTTGTGTGATAGCTGCAACATCAAAGACAACGCCTTTGGAATGTCCTAGATGGCCTTAACAATTGGCTTCGACAATCGAGAAAAGCAGCTATTTCGCTATTTCTTAATTGGCTTCCTAATTCAGAATGAACTGATGTGATGAAACTTTGCTTACAGTTCTCAATTTGAATCTATATCCTCCGGTTTCAATTTTGTAAGGCATTCCTCCTCTACTCGATGTATAAAGTCTAGGCTCTTTTAGCATTCTCATCGTCAACTTTCACATAGGGTTCCTCGAACTCCAAACAAGACAAGTGCAGCTCCTTGTGCATTAGCCACTACATCTTTGAATACATATGTATTGGTTATGAAAATTATGTACATCTGTCGTCTTTTGAGTTATGCTAAGGTGAGAATGATCGACGGTAAATAAGCCATTTTCCTTTGTAATCTATTAGTAATCGTCTTTGTTAGTGTGGTTGAAATAAAAGACTTATTTACATAGCTCAACACTCCCAATGAAGGTCTTTTTTATTATTCTTCGTAGATCATCCCAATATCTATACTACATCCTTGAATCATTTTGGTTGTGCTCCCTTCTTAATCCCTGTTGTGACGGCTACAATCCCTCTTTTCTTTGCTGCAGCAGGCATTCATAGCCGTGCATGAGTCCCTGCTGCAGCAAAGAAATCGTCGTTGAAGGCTGCGCGGACTGCTATCTCAAGCACAACGCCTTAATGATTAAAACTAAACAGTAACCAGCACCTTGACTATTTTGTGACCAGATAGCTTTTGACTCCAAAATTTGGAATGTATCTAATGACGAAGAGTGTATTGTTTGTGGTACTTGGCCTACTCTCAGCGAGTAGAGTTTACTTGCAGCCACGGGATTCCTGATTTCAGCTCAAGCCAAAAAAAGCTCCTGAGTTTCTTCTGATATTGGGTGGGCCGTCTGCTCACAAGCTACTAATTTGATTACTCATCGACCAATGAATGATCTTATTAGAACTCAGTGACCAATGACTATCTTCGTCTGTACTAAAATCTCAGGTGCGTGGATCAGCTACATTTGTGCACACAAATTTGTGAGAGCACAGACTTACGCTATGTAAAGGCTAACTTGTACCGGGCCCAATTTGCCGTGGAGACGGTCAAGGATGCAAGTTAAAGATGACAATTAGAGTGTTCTTTCTAGAAGAAAATATCATTATTATAGATGCAATAAATCACATGAGTTGTTGTAAACGCACAGGAAGAGTACCAGTCTCAAGTTAGATGCTGAGACTGTTACTCTGATCAACGCGATATATTCCTGTCGTCCAAGAAATCCAATAATTCTTTAAAAAACCTTACATGTCCCACAGGCGCTAGATCCTCATAAAGTTTCTTCTTTCAATAAAAAGGAGATGAGCTTTGGTCACCTAACGAGAAAGATGTTCAATGATAGAAATTCTGAAGTGACATAATTAGATGGTACGATAATCTCCGGATCACGATCACTTCCACTTGCGGTATATGTAGACTGCTAATGATCCTGATAGCTACAGCGATCAACGATTTGGATCTGGAATCTTGAGTCTTCTTCATTCTTGTTAATGTGTTTCCGACCACGCTGATATTTAGTCATTAAGCAGCAGTATAAATCTTGGGAGTAGATTCTTGTTATACTATGGAATTAACTTGTCGCAAGAGTGCATAGGAAAGAAGATTTTATCCTAGAATTTTATGGAGTACGGTTATCCAGATCATAGAGCTGTGTCCACAAGCAACACAGCTGACGAGATATCTATGGCATATTTGTTCTAAACTTCAATACTGTAATTTGAACCGTCGAAAAACGATTATTTTTTGACATTATTATTTATCTACCTCATAAACAACTCAACATGTACTTGGTAATCATAGCTGGCAGAGTGATATCAATCTCAAAGAGCAAAATTATCTACTTTGTTTTTTTAGCATGCTGAAAAGTCTAAAAGTAAATTTAGGGTTGGGGACAGCAGTAGTATTTCATCAGAATATCGAGAAGATACCTTACAATGCTCAAATGTTGCAGTACATGTAACGTTTTATTCATTTCGACGGGAAGGTCTAATCACATCATTGATGTTTACATACTTCCTTTCCAATTGAAAAGAGACCTCTATTCAAGGTTTGGGTAGAGACTAGGAGCCGTACATGATGTAGAAGGGAAAACTCCTATTAACCGGAAACCCCACTTGTGATGACTCTTGGAATATGCTAAATATTTACCTCTTCATGTTGCCAGTCTTAACAAGATCATGTATTTGCTTTTGGTTGTCAGCACCAATATTCTCCCAGCCAGGCAAGTCCTCTATGGGTTCCTTCCACCATCCGAGTTCAACGAAACATTTCGCATGCCTCCAGGCAGGAACTTTGCCAAATCTTCCAGTTTCCACAATTGTTGAAACGCGTACCTTTAAAAGGGAAAAACCGTAGCTTGTTAAGAATCAACGTACTCGAAGGAATGAGCTAAACCTAAATTATCAACATTTCACGCGTAGGCATGTCATCGTCTTGAAGCATTACTTACAAACTCCAACCCGGGGATACTTACTTCTCCTTTGCTGATTTTCTCTTTGCAAGACTTGCACGCAGCTCTCGAACTTTTTGAAATTTCGCAGGCGTATTCTCCATCTCCAGGTGCTGGATCCTCTTCGACTTCCGCTTCCTCGACCTCTCCTCCATCTTCAACATATTTCTTCAGCTTCTGGCTATCCTCCAAACGAATATCATCTACTCCCTCTATATCATCCAACCTGTAAGGGAACACATATCACCATTGTAGTCAATACACGATCTTGTTAGCAAGTGAAAACAGTCTCTGATTGAATACTCCGCCCAAACATTCAGGTACCCGGAGAAGCTGAACAAGGTCAACAGAATCCTACTATCATACCCAGTGATTATCAAATTTTTTACCCTTCATTCTCACGTGGTTTCAGAGATCCGTTTTTAACCAAAGTCATGAATTGTGTACAGATCGTTCAAGTTGCGCCTCCCACATCACAAGACTAAATATTCTCAATTAGAACAGTCATATCGACATGAAAGATGAATACTCACGACTTAAGAATCCCGGGCTTGCTTTGGATACAATCCATATGGTGCCACAACTGGAGATCAAAACGTCAAGTATTAGCAGATTTTAGAGATCGGAAATAAGAGGCGTTTTTGTGCGTAAACTCTTAACGGTCCAATGGCTCTTCACAAGATCAAGATGAGTTATACATTGCGAATACTTTTGACAATTACTGTGAGCGTTCAAAACTTGAAGATAGCTATGTCTATAGATTTGTTTCCTCCGCTCTGTCTCTATGTATATGTTAACCACACTTCACTGTTATAAATTAATGGCCTGTCTAAGCTGGTTAAGCAGAGAAGGAATTACTGAAGAAGGCTAACCTTCCCAATCGAGATCATGCGAATCTTTACACTCGATAGAAAACCGGGTCTGGTTTTAAGGACATTTACCATCATCAATCCATCATATTGGAAGGATTTCTCTACTTTCGCAATGCGCAGACAATCCTTAGCGATAGCAGTGTCGCAAGTTTTGCACATTGCCCTTCCAGACTTTGCGTATTCGACTTTCCATCCCTTCGGAGGTGGTGGGACTTCAGCCATTTACGTACACTCCTGAGCGCCTCTTTCCTGCTCACTCGACACTCGACTTCCTATCGTACACATTGCAACCGGCAAATCAATTAGTTACTGTGGCACAGTATACACTTCAAAACATACATTTCAGATTTTCCAGCATCATATATGGGTCTTCAAGAAAGTGTACCAGTACTAGTTAGACTGGCAGTAAACGAAATAGGAAACAAAAGATTGTGGATTGCAAAAACATCCGATCTAATACATAGTCGATAGAACAGACCTGTCCTGAAACCCCCAATTCCCACGTACTGAATCTGAATCTTCCACTGCAGCCTCTGCACTTGATACTTGACAGTCTCTGCAGCGTAACTTCCTTCTCCAGCAATGGGATACGAGACGCCAACAGTTCTAGATGTCGAACCTGTCAAACTTCTCAGCTAATTTTTCACAGGATCGAAGAAGAGGAATATGAACTCTGACTCTTGGAAACTCAATCCTGCTCTGATATGGACATTGGTAGCCCCCAGGTGGCTGCCACCTGTTGCCCACGTCACCTCCTTATTACTCTCCGATGATGTGCTGTTCCTCTAAAACCCTTCTCATGATGCATCTGAGCCCTTGTTTCGGGTCGATCTGATCTCAGGCGCTAGATCTTGCGTGCAGTTGACTACCAGATGTGCACGTTCGAACCCTCGATTACGAGAGGTACGTCTTGTACGTGATTGGCCATGTCCACCTGCACTAGTTGACGTCTGGTCTTCCACATACAACGACGTCGTGGTAACCGAGGTTCCTTCACATCGATGTCTGAATCTGAATTTCATGGAATATTGAGGGCCCCGAAAAGCAAATGTACAATATTATATTATTTGACACTCTCGTCTTCATTCGTTTCCTTGAAGGGTACTCACTCGTAGTGGCGATAGCAATTAGAAAACTGGCAGTCAGAAATGGTGATTACCTTTCAAATTGTGTAATTGATGGCGTTTTATTTTCAAAGTTCAACTTGGTTGTCATTTGTTCATATAGCTGATAAAAGAAGAATGATCATCCTAATGATTCCTAGGAGATGAAGAAAAATCTGCGATCCAAGTTGAGATGGATTATGAGTTAATAGACATGGACCTCTTTGATACTCTCAAAACTTGATCTTTCCAAGAAACAGAGCTCAAACTTTTTCTCATTCTTACTCACTTTCTCGTTTTTCGCCTCTCGAGTTTTCGATATTAATGTGGACCCATATCTTTAAGTATTCAAGTATATACATCCATGAATCGACTGTGCAACAGCGAAGAACATATGATACAGTATATTGATTACTCGTTTCAAACAATGCCATCAAAATGAGCACCAAAGTCGTTGAGATTCTAATTTCGTTGAACTTCAATGCAAAAATATCTCCAGCTGTTAATAGATTAGAGAAGGACCAAATTGTCTCCGTCTTATCCATTCCTCAACGACGAGGTACTTCGAAGTTAATTCGGATCACAGACTGAAAGTAAAAGATCATGGTCATGAGTTGACTTAATCTTTATCATTTCCAAAGCATGCAAATGAATATAAATTCATTCATATTTTAAACTTCTCATCATAAAATATAATTGAGTTATTCTCTTTGATGATTTAAGTGAGAAATTTCAAAATCATCGTGACAATGCTAACACCTATCAGAACCGATTACAACATCCTCGCTGCTTCTACATAAAGAACAATTATTGTACTCATTTATTCAACTGCCTCAAAATTACAAAATTAATTCCCGACCTAAGATAAAGTTAAGTAGATCACGGTTGAAAACATATAGTATTACATAGAATATACATGAACTTGACCACGCATAGGTAAACTACTTAATGAAAACATCGATTGTCTCGTAAATCTGAGAAGAATCTAAATTTTGCAGTCAATTGACCTAACCGAATTTTCGTTCAAGTAGAATATGAGTAGTTGGTTTCGATACGGGCTGGAAAATCATTCTAAAATGGAGTTACCCATATAGCATTGTGCCATACGACCCAATTTCTACAACCGTATCGGATTCCGGTAGCTGAGCAAGAGCATAGAGACAGAATTTTCACATGAGGCTAGTGCAGAGACCAGATTTGAAAGACATACACAGGCCATTAGATTGGAATGGCATGCTCGGATTAAATATAATGTGCAGATTGAGATAATTCAAGGTATGTGATTATTACATATTGGATGGAGACTGCAGCCCATGCTCCTCCATGTTCCCTTCAAATAGAGCACAGAAAAGAAGAAGCCGGTGAACACAAGTAGGCTTTGAAGGATATATGCTCTAACCGGTATCGCAGAAAATTAGTCAGCACCTTTTCGTCCAAATCGGGTCCTATGCACAATGCACACACGACTTTTATTTACTTACAACTTCAACATTACAACTATCTATAGCCAATGATAATGTCTAAAACATGTCCGATAGTGCAAACCTTAGTTAATTATACTGTATTCTTAAGAAAGTGTTGAGGAGCTTTGAGCAAGAAGCGTGAATCTCATCTATTGGCATAGCCTCTGTATCTAATTCCAGAGGTGAATCTATGGTTTGTTGGATCCAAGGATCTATCCTGAGAAAGCCAAGGTTTGTGAATTATATTTAACCACTGCAGAAAATCATCGAGGCCATATGGTGTGTTACGTCTGATAAGAATGATCCTTGCTGTCAAGGTCCTCCATAACTCTTTCCACTCATCTTTTGTGACCCCATGCAATAAAACGGAGGTATGTTCAACGTTAGGACGAGCCTGGTTGTAAGTTTCAGCAAATTACTTTTCTTCAGAGCCGATATGAAACCTGATATACATGCAAATTATGTCAGAATTGAACGTATGAAAATTTCAAATCAGAGGATTGTCCGTTGAAATTTAATGTATCTGAGGTTGCATGAGTTTCACGAATAACACTGGCACTCATGGTGTGTGTGTCATTAAAAGTAATTTTCTTGTGAAAGTGATCAGTTTTGCTCACGGCGAGAGTAATACATTTAACAGAAATACCCAGAATGTCAAAAGATCTATGTGGTCTTCTATGAGGTACAACAGTAATGGGCGTGTGTGTGTCATTAAAAAGTAATTTTCTTGTGAAAGTGATCAGTTTTGCTCACGGCGAGAGTAATACATTTAACAGAAATCCCCAGAATGTCGAAAGATCTATGTGGCCTTCCATGAGGTACAAGAGTAATGGGCGACATGTTCCCTTAAGCTCTAACAGTGTTGGTTAGTTGTGGAAGTTGACGACCAGTTTACAACGCTCTGATTTACCTCAGCAGTCAAAATCCATATTTCAAAGCCGTTAGGAAAAGCTTGGCGTTTTTTCTAAATAACCTGACCGGCAACTCTTGACGTGAGTCGATGACAGATTTATAATTGAATATCGCAATGGCAACACCTCTCAGATTACTCCCAGTTCCATAAGTTCCTGACTGAGGCATGTAGGATTGATCGGAAGATATATTTGTATATATGAAGCATATCTATAAAAATTGATAAACCACGATGAGATTAACTTCAAAGAGGCTTATATAGAGTGATAAACAACTAGGGGAAGAATATCGAATCAGTTCCTTTCACGCCGATTGAGTTCCTTTGACTCTTTATGATAAATGTAACTAGTGACTAGTCTGCTCATGTACAACGTAGAACCGAGTAGAGTAAATTTCGCTCTGCATCTAGTTAGGATGTGTGCCCTCTCTGTACACTACCTTGACCAACTGAATCAAACCGACAGTGCATCATCTAATTTGGAGAAGTTTTGCTTTGTATCTAGCTATTGATTCAACTTGGTATTCTTCATTGATCAACTAAATGTCAATGAAGTCATGCATATGTAAAATTGTTCACAAGTAACTGACTAATAATGTTGATAGAATAACACTGGAAAAAATTGAACATGAGAAAAGAGTTGTGAGAGAGAGAGGGAGATTCAACACTCCTTATCAACGTATTGGCAACAAATTGAATTGCTGTCTACAAAACTTAAACGTTGCACAGCTGTGCCTCAGTCAAGAGTTTTCCTACCATCTTTCCTAAAATGACAGTTCTCACAGCGGTGTTTGTGTTACAGGGATAGCTGGTGACATGTAACTGCATGATCGATAGAAACACGCGCTAAAGCAATGTTGGTCTGACTATCAGCACACACAGAACTAGGCTGATGTGGGGTGGATCTATGTCATAAAAAAAATTGTACAAATCCACAACAAATATGTTGTAGATCGAGTCAAGGTACTCGGCCTCAGTAGACAATGCCACTATTTTCTGCTTCTTGCTACTCCAACTGATGTCTCGATCATCGAGTATATCTACAGAAAGACGTTCTCGTCCACATCTACGTCTACATCTTCACAGCCTTCAAATAAGACTGGTCGAGTAATCGTATCCCATCAATTACAGACGGGCTTTTGCTTTTTGAGCTGTCCTCTACCCGCGTTGCGTTACTCTGCATTACCACAGAGCCTCTCGAAAGGAGCGATACGGGTTTACCATGTGCACCTAAATATCGGTTGGAGATAATTTGCATATCCTGATGGACCAAATCACGTAGATTCCTATTGATTATTGTATACATACAAACGCTTGAAATATATTTTTTATTTAAGTTTTAGTGTGGATAGTAATAGGTTAAATTTGATATAAAGTTTGTGAGACATATTATATTATTTATTGAATAATAATAAGATATTCTTCATCTCTATAAATTTTTTTCATTGGATATAAAATTTTTACATTTATTTTGCAAAACAGTATAATCCAGTCAACCATGAAATTGGAACTTGAAAAAAATTCATTAATATATTTATCATTGAAATCGAATCAAAATAAAATATTCATAAAATTAATTGCGATTTTTATAATATATCAAATCTTATAACAAATCAAATGATGAATATTAAAATAAAATACATAATCATTAGAAAATCAAATTTATGGTTTTGCATTACATAATTCAGGTAATCAAAATCGAAGATAGATCCAATCAAATAAATATATTCATCAAAAATATTTTTATAAAAATTATATACATTTAATCAATATCATATAAAATATCAATCTACTTGATTTCATATAATATTTTACTATAATGCTCTACTTTAGTTTATCAAATTTATTACATCATGTCTTCTTGACAAAATTCTATAATATAATCACAGTGACTAAAAAATTTACGGAATCCAGTCGATGATTCATGAAATGCGTTAGATTAGATCTTATTGGCAAAATCTAGTTTTATAGAAATAGTATATTTAGGGCTGGTCTAAAGCCGTATAGGAGGGTTATATATACGTCTCATTAATATTTATTTTGAAATTTTCAGTAAAATATATGTGTCTTCATGAAAAAGCATGTGTAAAGATTAATAATGTATTTTTGAATAGGTTTTTATAGCATTGTTGTGTTTGTGAAAAATGAGTCTCTTCTCGATACAAAACGCTTTTCATTTTTCATTTATTTCAAATCTTAGTTACTCTTGATGTGATGCAGATAATCATTATGATTTTAAAAATCATAGATCAAGAATCTTTTGATTAAAGATTGACTACGTGAGACTCTTGAACTTTTTTTAAAATTGTTGTTGTCGCCTATCAAAATTTTATCGTCATGTTATTTTTTAAAACTTTTTACTCACTATCAAATTAGAAATTTTGAATGTCTAGTCTTTTAAAACCATCAATATCTCATTCTAGATTGTGAAAAAAATTCAATTCAAATCAAAATATATAACATGTGAGCAATCATCAATTTTTTGTCTACCTGCATGTTTGACAACAGAAGTTTTCACTAAAAAATGTAACCATAAAAGTTATTTCTCCAACATCTCCTTTTACTCAAAAATCTACAATAGCGACAATGTTCGGGTCTGTGGTCTTCGAGGGATCGGTGCGCGTATTGATCTCCATTTGTTCTTTCGTTGTGTTCTTTTCATAATGGCCGCGGGTCCAGTACGCGTGCTCGTCACCGGTGCAGCAGGTGCAGTTTGAATTCGATTGTTTCTGGTCTTGCCTGCTTTGTTCAACTGTTGCTCCTGGTGTTGAGATCCACGTGACGAGGGTGGTCAGCAACCTCGTGGTTGCTGCGGACTGGTTTTTGGCTGAGAGAGGATAACTGTTTTTGTAACGGTTTGGTTGGTTAGAAACAACGGCGAGACGAGTGTGGAATACAAGAAATCAACTTTCTCGTACATGAGCTTACTTGGCACAACTCCTAGATTGGATCTCGAACGGGATGCCTCATGAAAAGTTTTTGTTCGCTTTTCTGTTTTTCTTATTACCTCAATGTTCACAATAATCAAGAAATGTATCACAATTAATCATCTGACCTAAAATTGTAATATATTTTAGAAAAAATGTTTCTTATCTTGTACTTGTTGTTCATTAACATGAAACGTCTCATTGCAAAATTCAAAACCTGATGAAACATATTGTTGCAAATCCGTAGTCGAATTTTTTATCTTGTATTTGTTGTTCATTAATATGAAACGTCTCATTTCAAAATTCAAAACCTCAAGAAACATATTGTTGCAAATAATATGCTAATACTACTCAACTGAGAAATACTACTCCAAACGATAAAGTGTATTAGGAGCAGTTTATAGAACTTGATAACAGAGATATATTATGAGTCACAGTGTGATGCTGATAGGGCTAGTCCTTTGCGTGCAGTATTACTTATCGGGCTTCATTGGGTATTCCCGTTCTTAGCTCTTATCTAGAGGGAAACAAGGATCCATAGACATCGGACGTGAAGCAGGGCCAATGCGTGAGCGAACGGGAAATGTCAAAGGCGTGGATCTACAGGAAACTCGAAGATAATGAAGGACCACAAGAGTCGTCGGCTGCCACGAGACTGCGGCCTGCCGTGTGAGCTGCGTCTGAAACCCATTGGGGCGCTGAGTCCAAGCAGTGAGAAGGCGCCAGCAGTGCAGACAGTTTGCGCGGAATGCACGGCGCTCACCGGTAGAAGACTGCCGCGTGCCGGTCGAGAGTCGGCTTCGGGCCACGACGCCGTCAAGGCCCGAGGCCTCGCCAGGACTGTGGGCACTGTGAGGACTCGGGGCCGAGATTGAGGCGGCGTGTGTTGCGCGGACTTTGATTCGGAATCGAGCTCGAGAGATCGCCCGACATTTGCTGCACAAATTTCGAAGAAAGTATCGTGCATTTTCAGGTCCGAGACGGAATTTTATAAGGCGCGATTGCTATGGCCATCCTGAATGCGGTCGTGGGCATCATCGAGCCGGCTTCGGTGGCATTCCGGGGAGAGAGAATAATTACAGGAAAATCTGCACCGACTCAACATGATGCGATCACTTGTAGACTGGATGCGAAGTGCGATCGCGGAGCTGTCCTCGCGAGGAGTGAGATCTTCGGATGCGCGCCGTTAAGCTCGGTCTCTGTCCGATCGCAGGGGTCGTCTCGTAGCGGGGCATGTAGTTCTCAGCGTTCTCGGAAGCGCTCTGCTCTCTGTGCCATAGCTGATGGCTTAACGAAAGATTTGGGCGAAATAGACGAGAGCGCTAGAGTTTTCACGGAAAAGCGCCCAGCTGACGGGAGGGTGAATTACAATTGGGAGGAGCAGTGGTACCCGCTCTTCCTGACCCGCGAAGTCCCGAAAGATGCTCCCCTCGGTCTCACCGTTTACGATCGCAATCTCGTCGTGTTTTACGATGGAGATGGGAAGATCAACTGCCTGGAAGACCGCTGCCCTCACAGGTTCCACCCAATTCTCTCTCTCCCTCAGCTCCTGAACTCTGAAACTGCACGATGTTTATAGCCCGCTATTTGCGTTTATTCAGGAAGCAAAACTGGTCGATTACTGTTCACTGCGAGCATCGCAATTTAGGTTGTTTTTACGAAAGCACTGCGGGTATAACGCGCTACGATGAATGTTCCGAGTATATGCGTTGATATTTCAACAACGTCGAGCGTTGATCAGTGATTATCGTTGTGATCGATTGAAGGCTTTGCAGAGTTTGGTTTATGTCAGATTATGTTCAGCAGTCTTACAAATGATTTCCTGCAGCTGGGAACTGAATTTTTATGTAGACTCTTCAGCGTAGGCATGGTCGCTCACGGGACAACCACTTCTGACGAGCTAACTCTGTCGATTGAAACGACTAGAGAGTATATTGACTTCTACCAGAGCTGACGAAATAAGTCGGTGAAGTGGAGGCTACTACCGATCAGACTGATTAACGAGTCACCAGATGTTTGAAGCTGCTCGTTCGTTGCATCTGTGTTGACAGGGCGGCTAAGCTGTCGGAAGGGCAGCTTATGGATGGCATGCTTGAGTGCTTGTATCACGGCTGGCAGTTCCAAGGCGACGGATCGTGCACCAAAATTCCACAGGTACTGTCTTGATTTGGAGCATTCCCGCTGTCGATTATTAGTATGAGTAAAACATGGCCAAGAATTCGATGTTGAATGTCGGATTTCGCGCTCGACTTGGAGTGCCTGTCAAGCATGTGTTGCAGTTGAGAAGCTTTGGACTGAATGTGGTGGAATTTCAAGCTGTCTATGAGCTGAAGTTATGAATACGTGTGGCAGTTGGCACCAGGAGCTAAGATTCCGAGGCAAGCATGTGCGCGTTCCTATGCCTTAAAGGATTCCCAAGGGGTCTTGTGGGTGTGGATGGCAGACCACAGAACAGCTCCCTACGACAAGGTCCCGTACTTTGATCACTACGAAGAGAAAAACTATGTGGATTTCGCAGCAATCCACGAGCTCCCTTATGACTACTCCGTGCTGGTGGAAAACGTCTTGGATCCAGCGCACATACAAATCTCGCACGACGGATTTGATGGCAAAAGGGAGAAGGCGCAACCCATGGTTTTCAATGTCACCGAGCGGACGGACGAGGGATTTGCCGGAACCTGGAACTGGATCAGCACTCCCGATGTGATAAACTTCACACGCTTTCAAGCTCCCTGCGTTGCGTACAGCGATGTGAAGAAGGTCTTCCCCGATGGTGTGGAAAATAGATTCAGTGCGACCGCCCTATGCAGGCCTGCGGGACAGGGGAAGTCCATTCTGATTATCAGATTCGGAAGCTCACGGGCTGACGGCAAGAAGATGGTCGGTCTGTTCCCCAATATCCCCCTTTGGTGTTTGCACGTCAGAGCCATGATCATACTCGAACAGGATTTGGGCTTTCTGAGCTCCCAAAGTGAGTTGCTGGTTCGAGAACGCAAGCCTACGAAAGACATTTACTTGAATCTCAGGTCTCAGGACGTCTGGATCGAAGAGTATCGAAAGTGGCTCGACAAGGTCGGGCACGGCATGCCTTACTACCATGGCCATCGAACATTCTCCCCAGCAGCCGTCTCAGCAGTCGAAGAGGCCTCTCCTGCTGGTCTGAATGCTAGCATGTCGTCGACACATCCGGCCAAGGGAGCATTTGGGCACAAGTATACACGAGATCCGACCAATAGGTACTTCCGCCACGTCATCTATTGCAAGCCTTGCAGAACGGCATTGAGGAACTTCGAGAGAGGTCAGAAAGCAGCGGTGGTGGCTGCAGCGATCTCTGCAGGCCTCGCCATCCTAATGTCCAAACCTGCTTACAGAGTTGCCTTCGTAGCTCTGGCTTTCCTCATGGGCTCTGCGTATTGGGCCTGCTCCCTCGGTGTGGCCTCGCTGACTGAGAACTGGTTCCGCAAACACAAATCGACATTGTAGTCAGTCGGAGCTCACTGGGCCCTATGATCTCTCCTTCTCCCCGTTTTATATTTCCATACACATCTTCCCGCTGCTTGGATTTCGAGAGCACCCTCCATTTCCTGTCTCCAACGTGGGAGGAATTTGTTCCAGCCAACTGGAGCTGAAACAATGCAATTTCAATCCTCAAGGTTGTGGAAGAAATCTTCGAGAGCCTCCTTTCTTTAATTATTGTACATATTGTGCTGCTACGAGCTCTCCCACTGTGCCATCGATTGGGCGGATGCTTCGTGAGTTCCTGCGCTGGCGGTACATCATAGACCCACAACTTGCCTCAAACATCGTAGCGAATAGCCATTTCGAGTAGTACCGTCATGTGCTGATGTACACAATTGTAGCAAATGACAACTTAGTGGACCGTAGCTTCGGATGTTATCTCACTTGTATATTATTGATTTACGTGCTAATTTGTTGGGTGAGCCAGACAGGCCTCGCCGCACTGCCAAAAGTCATTGAGGGCCTTGTGTGGATCTTCGAGGTGGACATATTGAAAGATGAGCAGAACAAGAGATGAACAGAGAGAGGTCTATTTCAGTTCACTCTTTCGCAGTGAACTCGCTAAGTAAATGAGGAGATGGGAGCAAGTTCATATTCAGAGCTCCTGATCCAAACTGTCACCATTGACAGAAGGTCAAATACGATGTGGCAGACTGTATACAGACGTCGATGACGTTCTTGACGTGCCCAGTTTCCTGCTTACCAGAAAGATCTTTAACATAGACACACGAAGCAAAGCTTATACTGAGGCTGGTGCTAGGGTGCTTCGACGTATGCTTCTATCTGGTGCAAGAAGCATGCGTTTAAATGTTGTATATTGCTGCAGACGAAGAGGCAAACGGACGGTGGCAAGGTCTTGTGTGTAATTCCCCGCGTTGTGATCTTCCTGAATCCTGGATCGCATAATTCAGGAGAGTCTACGTTGTACACTGAGAGACTTTTTAGCCAAGTGGCGTTACAAGCGGAGGCGTGTGTGGCATTCCATGGACGTCGTGTGCATGTGAGTACGGAAGAATCATAATTGGGGTAGATTCGAATCTTCAAGCAGGTATTGAAATCATTGCCGACAACATAGAACAAGGTCTCTAAAGTCTAGAGTTGGGACAACTTTAGTTGTCCCAACTCTAGGGCCTGAAGAAACCCATAGAAGCGTTAAGTCTTTTAATGTTCAACAGAGAATTTTTCTGTGTGAACACCAGATGATGTTGTAAAGCTCAGATAATCTATGTATTTCCCTGACTAGAACACGAATTTCCCTTCTTAGTTTAGACTTGCCGTGACAATCTAAGGCTCGTCTGACTTTATTAAAGCGAGGAGGGTGTACTAATGCACAATATCAAGGGAACAAATTGATGTCAACATAAACCGTCCAAATTGCCGTTCCAGGCCTGTATAAATATTAGGTATTAAATTTGATTTGCGTACGTTGGGATCAAGTTGATCAACCCAGTGGCGTTTCATCAATTATTGAGACACTCGAGTCCTCACGTCTACACCAATAGTGCCAAGACTCGAGAGCTTTGGATGCTTGATATTAATGTTTATCGATACATACTTCGTTCCCAAATACTCACACCGTGAAGCCCGCCACTGTTTCAAGAGATTCATGGTATCTAATTAAAACAGACATGTAGCATAATAATCCATATTGTACAAAATATGGAGAGGGATTGTTGTCCATGTAAGATTCAAAGTGTAACTTGAGGAAAATTTAATTTGACTAACAGTAACCCCAAAAAATTGACTATGAATTGGTGTAGCTTGTGATAGCAAATATTTTGAATCTGTTAGAATCATTTTCAAATCAAATCCAAATACTGACGTAAAGTATTATGACTCTTTCATGAAATAATCAAATATGCCAATTTATAAAGAATATTTGAAATTATGAATCTAAATAAGTATATTTATTTTTAATTAATATTTTCTATGTAAGTTGGTAACAACTGAATTTTTTTAAAATTAGTTTCTATTTAGTACTTAATTATATACATTGATCAATGCATATTGGAATGAGTTTTTCGTGTATGATACTTTGAGTAAATTAATCATCATGTTAATTTTTCATGATATTGAGTATGAGATTTAATCATTATTATGAAAAATAATAATTACTATTTTTTAAACATATATAATGAAACACCAGCAAAGATTGTTCCGAAATATATATACATACGTATAATTTTAAACCTTTATTGTAAATTTTTTAAGTTACAAAGATTACATTGGTACTGAAGTACCAATGTAATCTATCCTTTTGGAGTTGTACTTTACAACTCCATCTCCGAAACTATACTTTATCGCATTACCGTTGACAAGCTGGATCGCTCAAGAGCCCAAAGTTTTGTTGTCAAAGCAGATCCGAGAAAGAGACCAGAAATCGTAAAGAATGCTCAGGGCAGAAGGTTGGAGCACACAGTGGGAGCGACCGTTACAATACACGTGCAGACGAACCAAATGCCATTTTTGTTTCAGGTTTGCCTTGGCTCTTCTCCACCTCGTAACAATCTTAAATCTTAACTTCAAATATTGAATTTCCTTTACAATTTTGTGGAATCTACCGTTTATATCTAGCAAAGATGATAATGCTCTCAGTCCCAACGTCAATTTCTATGCAAACAGCAATCAATGAACAATCACCTTTTATTGTTGTCCTTGCTACTGCCATGTGAGTCTACTTGACTAACGATGTTACTACGATGTCATTCATTATGCAAGTAAGATATTTATTGTATAATAAAATACTTAACTGTACATCGTCACAATACTGACAAGCTTCATATGCAAACACAAGTGTATCAATAATTTACGGGTAGGTCCTTTTACCAACAAGTACTCGTTTAGTCCATATCATGACAGGCCAAATGTGATAATAGGATGAAGATTTAAAGTGTTATAGTCACATCATTATTCGCCTGTCTAGAATCCACGTCACGAAATGATGGAACCATCTTGACTGCTAAGCTCATCAAACACATCTTCATCGCCCATTAGGCAACAACAAAGAAGTTTTGTTGTTCAACTTGTTATAGAGTAGGACATATGTTATGCTCTAAAAAGAAATTTACACATCAACATACTGGCCGTAGAAAGTATAATCACATAACATTCATCTCGAACCTACCTACACAATTACAATGTTTGGATCGACGTGGTGCACAGATTACGCACATGGTCGTTCAATATCACAACATAACGAATTTCTTGTAACAAAATCTCTTAGACTCGTACCACCAACAATAACATCCAACGTGGTAAACCTGATCACCCAAATGAACTGAAATTGTAGAAATGAATGGTTAAAGGAAGTTTAAGATTACACATGTAAAGTGGGATTATAGATAATACGCCTCGTTGGATACATGGTAAACTCGATCTCCAATATCTTCAGATCCACAATGACATAACTTCTTCCACCCAATCTGCAGCGACCTGTGGATCCGAAGGTCGTAAATGCCCGACTTTATTTGTGTGATAGGCCCTCGACTGTGGGACAAACCAGGAAAAACTGGAAAACTCTACCCCCGACGTATATGAAAGTTCACTCCCTTGATTTGGGAGGAAACTAATGGACAACTTTCGAGTCCACATGAACCTAGTTCACTATGACAGGGACACGCACTTAAGCTCAAAATGACACTAGGTGTACTAAAGTTGATGTGATCTGAAGGACTGCACAGATCAGCTCATAGAGCTCCGTTTATCAGTGTTGAATTCCTACCGGTCCGGCCTACTAACATTTCAAGGTAGAAACCAGCTCAGGAAACTGCGCCATCGATGATCCTAAGCCGTCAATTATTTGTAGGGCTAATTGCCAAACTGCGATTGCGTACAGTGAGGATGTGTTATAACGCATTATAGTCCTGAAGTTGGAAAACACCAGATAGGCTGAACCTTGTGGCCCATCGGGAGCGACCTGTGGATCAACAAGGAAACGTGAGATGCGATGTACGGATAGCTACTTTAAAAGTTGAAACTCATGAGAAAGGTAACTTTTGAGAAGTCTTGAAAGCAAATCATTGTGAAGTTAGTACTAATCAGGATAAAAGACAATTTATCCACCCAAGTTATCCTACACGTGATGATAATTTATGGAGACTTCAGCAGAACAATTACATTCAACTAGAAATCATCAGAGTTTGACTCACCAAACTAGCCATTTCATGCGGTGGTAGTTCGGGTTGCCCTTCGTCTACCCGCACTTTGTACATATTTGTCCACTCAAGCACCGATTTTTGAACTTGCAAGCCGATCAATTTCTTGTCAATGTTGCCCTCTATTTTGACCTGCGTAATACGTTGAGTTGGTATGCTTTCAGGCTTATTTCGACAAAAACATTTTTTTCTACAAACACTTCATTTAAGTATTTGGAAATAGCAATAAACATCTGCAGCCTTCTCGAGATACGAATCTCCCAGTTTATATAAAAGAAGAACCATAAATGTCAATGACCTACTACGCCTCTATACACTGCAGTTACTGGCAAGAAGCGCAGGTCGAACTAGGAGACAGGGAAGATAGAGGAACAATAATACCACTACCTGCAGTTTACATACCTTTTAAGTATTTCATACTGATATCTTCCTTTCTGTATCTTACTAGGAGACAGGGAAGATAGAGGAACTATAATACCACTACCTGCAATTTACATACCTTTTAGGAATTTCATACTGATATCTTCCTCTCTGTATATTACTAAATTTTTAGCAAAGCCTTTGTCACGCACCAAGAGGCATAATATCAAAACTGAACTACCTTTTGTGCGAGAAGACCCCCTCTCTTCCATCCATGCTTCATCAGATAATTGGCCATTGAAGCGAATATGTCGGCCCGAGATTCCCAGATATCTGTCAAGTCAAACGAGAACTGATGACGAAACTGATGGCATGCCCCACAGATCAAATTAACATAAAGCAGAAATCTCAGTACTCGACAGGGAGCGAAAAATGCAGACTCAAATATTCATATGGAAATATATATTCAGGAAAAATTGGTCAGCTGCGAGATCTGGACAAAAAAATTAAGACATGATGAAACTAGGACCGCCTTAATCACATTCTCACTATCTGAAGGTGGCTTGGATTGTTCAAATGGGAATCGGTGATAATACTGTGTTATATATCTACATGATATCACTGGAACAAAATATGAAATTGACAACTCGTAGCAAAGATCAAGACATCGATTGATAAACCTTTTCGACCGTCCCCATCATAGTCGACGGCATAGGCTTGAAAGCTTGTTGGCATGAATTGACATTGTCCCATAGCTCCAGCCCAAGAACCTCGTAGTTTGTCCAAACTTTGCGGTCCATGGCCATCCTGAATAATACGAAGAGCTTGGAAGAGTTCACCCTTGAAAAATTGTGCCCGTCGTGGCTGAGGTCATGCACACCACCAAAAACATATTAAGTAGAATTCCTTAAAAATTCATAATGCATTCCAGTTCTTACTGTGAGTTATATCCAACTCTTATCGGCTCTACATACCTCCTTACTAGCATAGGCAAGAGTTCCAAGAGCTCGAATAACATCCCAGTTCCCTGTGTAGGCCCCATAGCTGCACAAATAACAAAGATTGTACATTTTAGACGAAATTCATTAGCTTTGAAACTTGACTTCATGAGCTGCTAATTTCTTCCTATCACTTAGTCAGCTAACTGAGAGTCAAAAGGCCTTCGAAGTATTGGGAGGCTTTCACCATCTTTTAAAGTACAGGCTTCTTTTATTTTTGTACAAACAGATCATCTATGCATGTAATGAAAGCAACATACTGGGAGAAGTGTTCAAGCTCTTTCAAATTACGGGCCAGCAAGATCGATGACATGCCAATCGACAATACCTGCTCTCAATGCCCCATATTGCCACGAGAATTGGAGAAGGCACTCCATACTTGCTGGAAATTTCCGTCAATAACAGCTCATTTTCTTGGAAGCCAGAAACCCCTTTGTTCACCCTGTAGACATTAATCATACTGCATCATAACAAGTTGACGTGTCAGACATCAATTCCTTCCAAATTATATAACATGTAACTGACAGATCCTCCAACACATGTGGTGTTTATTTGCAGGATAGATTTCGAACATTGCTAGAAACCAAAGATAAGAAAGGCACATGAGACAAAAAGAGAGAATCTTATTACTTCTTCAAATAAGCCTCTAGAGTGAGTTTGACCTCTGGCTGGTTGCTGTCCAACTCCATGATGCGTTTCGATGGCCGAAGGCCCTGAAGGGCCTGTACAACTACACTCTCTCGCAACCCTTTCTTTACAGCTGTGTCCTTCACTTCTACCAGCCACTGCTCAAATGCCTCTTCATCGATCTCCAGTAAATCCTGTGAAAGATTATTACTATGCTTCAGTGCCAAATTGAAACCTCGCATCCAACTTGACTTGGCTTTCATTAAAAAGTCTGCTTGCCACTCATACAAATGTGCGGTTTGAAGTCTGTGACAACCGACATCGAGCATGCATATCCATGTTCAACTGGTAGTGATTATCTACTACATACAACTAGTGAAGTGAATGACAATCAGAGCTTTTGGTTCTAAGCATCTCTATTCCTTTGTTTTTAGGGAGTATGACCTTGAACTCTCAACTCAATGTTCACCGTTCCTCGACATCACACAACATAATAAGGTTGCAGCCAGAGTTCAACTAATCATAGAAACCTTAACATACCTGATCTACCGCAGTGTTTACATATGTGGGCATCACGCTAGTTGTTCCTCCCAAAGCCGCTCTATACATGTATTTGCCTCTTTCATTGATCCCGGCTTGTTGACGCCAGTTTTGCAAAATGCTCGAGGAAAAACTCTTTCTTACACTACCATATGGAGAATCCAATGCTGGTCTGTGTGGTGGGCTCTTACTACAAACCTCGTGTCCATCAACTTCACCATCAATGATCCTCTCCGTCTTCAAGCTTGATAATAACAACCTCGGACTTCTGGCTACAATTTTGGTCTTTAGCAAAAAAAATGTACATACAAGTATTGCTACTCCTAGAGCTTTGACGAAATTTTCGAGCACTTTCCACTCTCTTTTGCCGGCCTTCTCTTCAATTTCACTTTCAAGATCAGGTGGACCAAGACTTTCTGTATTGGAGAAAGAAGAAGCCCTAAACTCATAAGAAGATAAAGACGGGAAATTCAGAGAAGGTCTGATCGGGCGGAACCAGCTGAACTCAGAAGACAGCGTCAAAGCAAGCCCTCCTCTGCGACTCGAGCTCAAACGGAGAGAAGTAAACTGCGCCACATTTGCCGAACATTGACGAAATTTGGGAAAACTCCCTACCAAACGTCGATGTCCCACTCCATTCCGCGCAATTCCGCCGATCATCTGCGATTCGAAGTGGGGACAGCCAATTCAAAACCGACGAAAATTCAAATTCGAGTAGCAAATCTCAAAATGCAGCAGAATCGAACTCGACCGAAATTTGCATGACCAATCGACGCCCGTCCTAACACTTACGGCGCCGGAAGAAGAGGTGGCAATTGAAAATCTGCCCGAATGGACACATTCCCACACTGCGCTTGCGCTCATCTTCCCACTTTTCGATTGTCGAACATCTGGCTCGCATTTGGCCGCTTCCCCGCCCGGGCACCTGGCGTCGTCCTGGCCTACTGCGTCCAGCCGCGTCCGCGCCTACTGTGCCGTGATCCGGCAATCCTGAACTTGGTCACGGTGGGCCCGCTCTTCTGCCGTTGCTCTCATATGTCTTGTTTATATATAAACCTACAATTTATTACTAATATTTCTCAATGTATAGTACCTTGGTCTTTCGTACAATCAGTGGATATAAATAGCTTGACTATTAAATTATTGTCTTGCTAGAGTGTCAAATATTATTTGTATTCCATACAACATCGATAATTAGTCTCTCCTACTATCAGTACTTTTATTATAGTTAGAATATTCAAATACTATAGCTAGAGTAAAGAAGAACTGGAATCTCTTCGTTTCAATATATTAGAGATTTGTGTGTTGACTTTCATCCAGAATCATATCTGGCGTCACACATATAAATTGTAATCATCGCATGTAATGACTTGTAATCTTTGATTTCGCCTGGATTTGAGGTTTGTTGTGACTCTAGTAGTCATGCTGATTCTCATTCAAAAAAAAAAAATCATTTAAACATGTTATATATTTTTCTTTGTTGAGAAACTATGCTTCAGAGCGTTGTAGCGCACAGTAACTTCATATTATGGTGAAGCAGACTTGCACAGTAAATTTATCGTACTTTCGTTACAATAGTCTAACTTGTATGTAAGATACAAGAATTGATAAAACATAGTTGTATGCTAAGCTTGTATCTTTTAATTTTTCATCATTTGCGACATAAGAGCATCTTCATTCCTGGACGTGAACCCAGGGCCCGTATTATTTAGCAAGATATTTCGAAGTTTTATCTAAAGAGGAAGAAAAACTAAAATTAAGGACCAATTAAGTCCTACAACCATGAAAACAACTCACAACATGGGCTGGCCCCAACAGCATCATACTGAGATTTAAAGTTTTGCTAGTAAAATACCACTTGCTAACATCTACAATTAACACGTCAAAGTATCTACGCGGTTCCTTTTTGAAACCTTCAGTTATTGGTAGCTGGCTTGTTGAAATTAAGTCCAAACACGTGAACATTTCTCCCTTGCGTGCAGAGCTTTCAAAAGGGCGCGGATGCAAAAGCTGAGTCTCTTGTATTTTCCCAATGTACGCTGGGCTCCGTTTGCGGGGGACGGCATGTCCTTTGAATGTAGCATGTACAGGGTGCGGCGTAGATGCTCCATAGTAATGGTGCCTATCCAGTTGTCTCGACAGAACACGCAATTATTGCAGCTGTCTCCCAAAAGCGAAGCCAATTGCATCGTATTATTTATTCATGACGATAAAGAACATCAGAAAATCAGCTTCTTGCGAGCTATGTAAGCTTTTCGAAGACGTCTAGAGTTTATGTAGTGATGGAATTGTGCAGATGAAAGTCCGTTGCTTTCTAATCTTCGCAGTTAAATTATGACAGTAACTAGTAAAAGTTAGATCTAACTTTTCCAACAGGTACTAAATCTTCGTTTAGGGCTTAAGTAAGGTTTTACATCCATCACTTACCTGAAGATCGCCTGAATTTTGAGCTACCATATGGAATAAAATAAGAGTCATGAATATTTTTGTATATTGGACCTGATATTGTTCTTTGAGTTGCCAAATCCCCGGCGCTAGAGCAGGTTCTAGAACATAAGTCAGCTCATCCACCTCATCAATTATTTTGCAGTGCGTCATACTCTGAGTGTTGAACAACTCACTTCTCACAAGTCCAACATTAGAAGTGTTGGGTTCATGAGAAGTGAAGAATGAGTTAGCACTTTGATTCAATTTGGAGATTATCTAAATTTAAAATCTGAGTTGTTATCTAAAGTGTTTTAACGTGAGTGCTGGTAGTGAGAGGAGTGGGAGCAAGCTATGGAAAAAGAAATGTCGATAATAACGTAAGACCCTCTGATACTCTAAAATCTCCTTCATCAGAATATTGGAATATATGTACTGTACTGATAGGTAGATAGATAGATAGATATATACAAACATACAATGATATGAAGTCAGCGTTCGCATACAAGGAGATTGCTCATGGACTTCAAACAAACACACGGTTATCATGAAAAAGAATTTCACATTCTGTAACATAGGCTTTTTTAATTCCCCGGATATATTCTGTTCACAGTCACTTGGCATTTTGCAGCCACAGCCAAGAATGGTGGCATAACTTGTTACCACAACTGCTTTCCTGATATTTGATATGTACCAATATTCTCTTAACCAACTAACCAGCATGACTTGGAGTGTTCTCATGCCTTCCCAATGCTGGGCTACAATCTTTGGTTCTTCGAAAAGAGTTGGCAACCATTTCGGCTGCGACCTCTCTTTCTTCCGGCAAAACGTTTCGATAACAATGATCTCGTCTGACCCGGGATATCAATCTACATATCTACATATAATTTTGTACAGAATTCCCAATCCAGGTGGCCAATATCGCTCTCGTCGATTTACAAATGCTAACGAGTCCTACTTCCACGCTCACACAAAATGTATGAAAGACCTCTCCAGTAAAAAACATACTTGGGTTTCTCGATCTGAGACTCCACGGCAAAACGTTTCTCGTGTCCAACCAAAATGGACATGTATGAGTAAGTCACAGGACTTAGGCTTGAGATTGCTGCTCTCCACAAGGTTCTAAATGTACAGAGGGTCTACAACTCCAGATGCTGATGGTATCCTTGGTTATACGTAGCCGTAGACTTCAAGGAGATCCGGAGAACTCATCATGGAAGACACGAGCTGCTCCACTGTCGTGGAGATTGTAGAAATGGCTGAAATGATGTCTTTGAATGTAACCATTCCCAGCAAGGCTCCGATTTCGTCGGTTACCCAGACGTGTGTAGTCCTGTAAGCCAGCATCTGAGCCATGACGGCTGCTACTGAATTGGAAGGTCGACAGGTTAAAGGCATGATTCGAGAAGGAACATTTGGGAAGTCACCTTTTCCTCTGTGTTGCACTGCGAAAAAGAACGACAACCATTACATCAGCTTCTTATTTCCGACTATAAGGACTACAAAAGAGCATCTCGTAGAGTGGACCAAAGAGAGAAAGGTTGAGAGAGACGATACGCACTTTGGTAATTCACCAGCGAGAAAGAGATTCCTTCACTCCAGAACTTTCCAGCCCCGGAGGATTGTTTGCTGTCTCCGAAATGTTCCACGTATCCTACAAAATCTTTTGCAGAGAGTGTTGCCAGAGCAAAGGCCACTCTCAAACCAGAATTTCTCAGTTTGATGGCAGAAATCTCCCCGATGAGGATTGGCTTGCAGATACCGTTGCCATCTTCAAAGTTCTCCACCACTGCCACTGCTTGTATGCTGTCAGGGGCTTCTTCTCTGATTTTGAGACCGAGCCTAGCTGGGTCACTGCCGAAGATCATAGGCGGGCTAGTATTGATGATGCCCTGACTATCAATTTTCTTCAGTGGGAAGGGGGCAAGAGCTCCTAAGCATCCGAGGAGAAATCTCGCCACATCCTCGACTGTCAAAATGCAGTAACCATATGGTTTCTCAGGTTTCGGAACGACCACTTCGAAGTCCGATGCAGCTGGCAACCAATGACTACTGTTATGGTAAGCTGAGAATCGCTTGGAAACTTTTTGAAATCCAGAACTCAAAGGAACCAGCAGCTGACTCGTCCCTGACTTGATAAGCTCCATCACATCAATCAATCTGCACACAAATTCCATATCAGTAACCTGTCTTCGAAATGTACAGTCATTTTGTGGACTACCACCTCCGACTATATAAAACAACGCATTTCCTCTGGCCTAAACCCACAATTCTGCGCTGGATCCAGCGCAGAATTATGAATGGCAACACCTTTGATGGTTAATACCATCAATTCTGCCTTGCTTAGGATGTTTATGTTTCAGGCGCTGTTATTATCTTCCATCCTCATTCTCATCCTCCTGATTTGGGTGAATTATAACGTTATCGTGCGAAGTGATGGGAGAGGCTCCCTGTGTGCTCTCCCTGAGCGATGTCTGTCGTTACTCATGGAAGTTCTTCCCTGAATTTCCAGAAATCGTATCAGAATCGACATCATTGATCATCCGGCGTAAAGCCTGACACCTGATATCGCTTTCGGAAATTCGGTATCGTTGCGAAGGATGGAAAAGTACAGACAAGTGGAAATCTGGATCGAGGAGCTCGACAACTTTCAGCTATTGCATTCAGCCCAAGATTATCCTGCCAGTGAGGGGCCGGCCGACACTCACTCAGCTCTCGATACATGTGTTTCAAGGAAACTGTATCCGGCAATTTGAAATCCAGCCACAAGCTCAACATTCAGGTACAAACGAGAGAAAGCTGGATGCAATCATTTCCATGTTTCGAGTCCCTGCCCGCCCTGACCTACAAAGTCCTTTGCAGATGAGACCGTGAGGAAAGGACTCCATGAAGCAAGTCAATGCCCTCTCGCTTCTCGTCTGCATATGCAGTTCAGGTAGACCTCTAGCCTGTCCGGGAACGAGGGCTTTGATGCAGGTCACCAGAGGAAAAGAACAACTGACTTCGCAAACTTCCCATCCTTCAGCTCATTTCATTGGTCCCCTCGATGGTTGGGACTTCGGAGACAGTAATCGAGGAATGGCACGTGGCGAATGGTGGAGATGCGTGAAAAAAAAAAAAAATTGGAATTGTTGGAACTTGTGATATTCCGAGTCAAGGGCTGTGCTCATTTTCTGATGAGAAACTCGGAAATGAAAACGAGAAGGAATCGTCAAGAGGAACGGACCTGGTGCCAGGAGCAGCGTGCCGTAGCAGGCCGGGATTCGATGTGACGACGTCGGAAACAGGCACATTCAGGGCCCAAATTGGATCGAGTAAGCTCTGCTCGGTGGACAAGTGACCGAGGATGTCCAGAATGCTCAGCATCCCGATGAATCGCTCCTCCTTAGCCTGAGGACGCTCGTACTTCTCGGAGCTGCTGCCGTATCTCTCCATGCTCTGCCGTCGAGACATCTTCCACACGGGCAGCTCGAATTCATTTCTCTCGAGCAGAGTCTCCAGCGCCTCGCGCACGGAGGCGGATTGTGGAAACTCCTTCAGTTTGGGCTTTCCGACCGTCAAATCGCCCACTACACGATGATATAAAATCGCCGCCATACACTCCGCGAAAAAGCAAACCGCAGAAATCTACAATCGAGTTCACTAGCTTCCGACCGAAAGATTCTTCCCGAAGGTCAGAATTCACCGTAGGCGTCGAAGACTCCACAGCAGCCGAGTTCAGCTCTCTCTGTCTCTCCCGCCGTGCTCCTCAATTAGACCCACGATTACTGGAATGTTCTACTAAATGTATGTCAAAAATCATCGCATTCGTGGAACTGCAAATCACAAGACGAAATCGCATTTGCCCAGGCTTACTATTTCTGCAGTCATGATTTGCTGGCGTGTTCAACACGATGAACATTTGAACCTGACTTTTCTGCTCTCCGTCTTCGAGAGGACTGTCAGAGCTCCCTCGAGGGTGGGGAAGGGGGGAGAGAGGAGAGAAGCTCGAGAGCTCGACCAATCTCGGTAATCCCGCTGACTTGCAGCGCGGACACTCAGAGTGTGTGATCCAAAGTTGAGGGATGGGAGAGGAGAGAGGGAGTTGTGTATTTTCTAGTGGAACGAGAGGACTATGGCCACCCACACTCGAGGAGGGAAGCGTACCGGGACAAAACACATTCAGGCGATTGATCATAGATTGCTTGCTCGCAACCTTAAAGCTTCACGTGGTGGGGCAGGACGAACAGCCTGCAGAGGTGCCGTGAGGTCGCCAGGGGGATCGGGGAAGGAAATTCTTTTGCAGATTATTTTGGGGCACCGAGGAATTGAAGCCCGCCGAGGACTCTGTCGGATTGATGGATAGATGGAAAGGGGCAGTCGGCCTCGCCGTGGCTGCTTATGCTAGCCTTGATCTCGTATCCTCGCGAATTTGAGGACGACGAGTGAAACTTACACGGCGCAAGCGATTCTCACGGGCACTCGGTAAAAGTTTCACGACACCGCGTGCTCCCGGTGTGGCAGGCGACGCCGACGCGCTTTCGACAGCAACCATCATCTCATTAAACCTAGTGCGAGACCGCTCGTCGTCTACTAGTCCTCAGCGTCCATGCCCAGCGGGATGTTATCCCCGATGGACTCTCTGATCACTCCCGTTTCCACATATTCTTGCGAGAGGTCCGCAACCTCCCACGTTTTTTAACTGAATCTCCTTTCGCCATGTTCGTGTACGGATGAATTTCAACTGCGCGCGTGATCTTTGTTCCCGTTCGGTTGACCGGGATTCTGCTTGTAGTGAATGCCAGCACGAGAATCTGCCGCTCGATTATCCCCTTTCCGTGAGTCTGTCACTGCTGCCCCCGTCCGTGTAATTTCTCTCAGTGCAGCAGATGTAACCTTTCTGGGTTCTCGTTCTCCCGGACCAGATTACCTTCATAACATCAAAGCGTCAATCGATCTGATCAGATGTCCAGTTCGTAGGAGGCTTGCGGAGGGCTGTAGCGCCCCCTTTTTGACTTATAGCTCAGCTACTGCAGCCAAATTTCTCTCTCTTAATCTCACTCTCGCTCGCAGCTGCGAGCTGCAGCTCAAGTGGTATGGCGATTCCTCATCTATTATGGCCGGGCACAAGCTGCTGTCTCATTCGGTGTAAGTGCACCTCTATCACCAACATCCACACACAAATTGGCGATGGGGAAAAGTGTGGGCCGCCACTACCAAGTAGAAGCAGGTGTAATTCCCATTCGTCTTATCGCTCGCTTACTTGCTTCCGCACAGGCGAGAATAATGGGTCCCATGGAGGAGCTGACATGTTTATCCCTCACGCGAATGTCCTCCACTGTGCACCCGATGAACTACGTTTTCACCATGTCCCCGTAGCTTCACATTCGTAGCGAGCGTGAGGAGGGGCAGAGCAGACCAAAGTCCACCGTAAGGAATCGATTAAAATATCATACAATAGAATAAAATATCTGGTCCATGAAACTCCAATCAAACCTCCGACGTCATAAAAGCGGCTCTCTGACAGAAATCCTGCTGAGCATCGGGGGCCAGTATTTGAGATAGGTATGATTGGTAGTTCTAGGCTTGGGGCCCTTTACACATACAGTGACTGACTTTATGAGCAGGAATGATGCAGAGCGATGAACGAATGCACTTCGTTTGCTGGACAGGAGTCCTGTCCAGGATTCGTGCATGTACGTACAGGACCCAAGTCTAGAAGAGATCGGTTCCTTACACATGCAAAGTATGCAGCCACCCTCTAGGATCTGGCTCCCTTCTTCGGATGTTCCATTAATCACAAGTTTCCAGCACAGACACCTTTCTCAATGTCCTCTCTAAGAACATCATGTCCTCCTTTTGAAAGTCATCGCGAAGTTTCGACTCCATAGCTTGGACACACAAACCTCTCTAGCGGATGTACGTTCACACGGGCTAGATGTACTTCACGTACATGAGGTTCCTCGATCACCGAATCTACGTGCGAAGTTTCACCCTTTCGATTACTTCGCACAATTATTCTTTGTCTTGCATTTATGTCATATATTCCAATCTTGAGTTTATATGAATATCATGGTACAGTACAAGCAACTTTCAATGGCGATGGTTGTGTTGAAAAATATAGAAACATATTTGCAAATTTCACATGGAATTAATGTCTATAGAAATGTATGCTTATGTTGGATTGACTTGCTCTTCTTTTTCTCCCGATGAATTTGGGCATTCCACTATTAATCTCCAATAACAGTTTTTCTTAACTATTGCAGATTATTGTTTCAACATTGATGGGATTTTTCCATGGTTTGGTTGACACATCTGCATTTTCATTAATCACTTTGAAAATAATACTACTCTATAAGTAGGAAGTGATTTATTGCATTCTTAAGAATGCATAGGTGAAATACATGTAATGTCATCTGGGGGTTTCGAATTCCATAAGCGGGTGGAAATATCATGGAGAAAGTGTTGCAATTGACTTGCATTAGACTAAGAGTTGTGACATAAGTATACTCGATTATTACCAAATTACTAACACAAACGTTGTTGTATACGTTCATACAAATGACAAAAGTAGCGCTGGGTGTATCCCCCAGATGAGAAAATATCTTCCAAGATGAATCAAATTCAGATAAAATCTCCAAGTTCAGAGTTATGCAGATCTATATTCTCTTCGTTAATATAACCTTGGAATTCTTATGGATGATGAAAAATGTGGACATTTTTGGCATATTATGTAGTCTATTGTAGTCATCATTATCCATTGTTCTATAAGCTCAATCCATAAGAGATCCATCACATGAGAAGATGATTCGAAGAACGCTTGAGTATTATGCGGAGAAGGTTATATCGATAGTTTGGATATCATAGGGGTAGAATGATATATTGTCCATGTTTTTGGGTCCTAGCCCCATCCTACCCGGTTATTAACTCCTTAGATGGCTTGACCTTCCTATCCTTTCCTCGACTTTCTCGCTGCTCCTCTTCTATTCCCTCGGGGTTCCTGTCCACCACGTCACTTTCCATCGCACTGATGTGGCAGGTGCAAGCGGTTTCTCCTGTCGTGGAGTCCATGGGCGTTCGCACTCCGGATCGTCGTCACGTCCGCAAGCGCAGTGACTGCAGTGGCTCCCGTTTCCCATGAATGCTGTAACATCGAGCGCTTTCAATCCGGCCATGGACTTTGACTTCGCAGTTGGGAGATTTCGATTTCGAGCAGGGCGACGGAAAAAGCAGACAGTGATGAAACACTACACCTCACTCTCGCACCTCACTCGCTCGTGCGAGGGTCGTCCCGACTCGGGGAATGAGAAGCAGATGGAACACCTGTCCTATTTTCGGACTACTATATTCTGCTGTGGTCGGTAGCTGACCGTCCCGCAAAGGAGGAGACATCTCCGATGATGCAGGACAGAATCCCCAGAGCATATGTCGTGGAGGACCGAAATTGATTCTCGTGGAAAGCGCTCGTGCTGACCTTAATGCGGAAGCTGGCCTGTTGCCGATCCAGTGACTCAGCCGTGCTTGGATCTTGCACGCAGTTTGTACAAAGCAGTACCACGGTGTGTACCTGGTAGACGATCATAGCTTTCTTTTCAACCGTCTCTTTATTGGGGGGAACGGAGTGACATATAAAAATGTCGTAGCGTATAACCGAAAGCGTAACACGGGGCAAGTCTACCTCGAGTGGCGTTCGTGGCTGCTCGCGAAGCTCATTCTAGAATTTGTAGCTACACTTTCTTCACGAGATGTGTCTTTTCTCTGTGCAAGTTTGTTGGTCTCTTCTTAGCTGTCCTTTTTGGGCTTTTTCACGTCCTCCATATCTTCAGGCCGCCGGGTATGACAAAAATATATATCAAGCCGTATATTGATTAAATGATATAATGGTATCGTAGCATATATTAGCTGTTGCTAATGCTTTGTTTATAGCAATGGGAACACATCTTTTCTAGCATCGAGTATCTACTAATTTTGAGAAATTATTAGTTCTTGTCGACTAGAATGATAGGAATTTGCAAACGCACAAAGATATATGTCCAATTTTAGACCCATAGCCTTGTGAGATATCAGCTTGTATGTCTTTTTCTTTCTAGAGTATTTTTCATTCAGTAATAGTTCGCTGAGTCAATATCCTATGGGTTGTGTAGGAATTGACGGTTTTGATTTATTCTGATATTTACCGTTTAAAGTACCGTTATAAGTTGGGATGATGGAAGTCCAGTCAGCGAATTAAGGCTCAAAGCATTACAGTGATAAGGTTTTCAAGAATAGTCGAGAGGAAGAACGGGGAGACATCTACGGGAGAGAATCACCTGTGAGGAAGTGTTAGTCTTGCTCAAAAAACAGTAGTAATTTCTGACAAAAAAACTGAAAAAAAAGTGCAGATACTGCAAAGTTTCTGGCTTTACATTTTCCGGGCTTTAGCTGCGGCCTGCGGCCTCGGGTGTGTAGTTGTCAGTGGAAAGAAACCTTGTAATGGCGATAGGAAGATCAAGTCTGAAGAAATTGATCTTGGATATATATACTCGAACTGCCTATATTGAGGAGTTCGCAGGAAGTAAGCTTTCAAGCTAAACCTCGTCAACAAATGTTTTTGTCTCTATGGTGTGTGGACTATGATTTTCTGTAGGTTATGGGGATTGAAATCACTACAGTGGTATCAAAGCATCGTAGCATTGATCTTGAATTCACAGCTTGGTCGCATCTGACTTCTTTGCTCAATTCAACCTGGCGGACTTGGAAGCATCGAGTCGCCTCGCTGGGCGTACCGGCGAGCCAGAAAGGAGTGACGACCTTCCACAGCAAAGCACCAACACAAATTCGTCTCAAAGAAGCATATCAAACCTCAGTTCTTGGAATACTTCGACAGCAAAGCACCAACACAAATTCGTCTCAAAGAAGCATATCAAACCTCAGTTCTTGGAATACTTCGACAGCAATGAGAATCGACATAGAAAAATTTGATGGCATTGGAGATTTTTGAATCTGGCAAAAAAAAATCTCAGCTCTCCTTGCCCAACAGAGATTGATGAGGATCATCTCCGACCTAGTGCTATGGCCTGAAGATATTCTCCAAGATCAAAGAGAAGAAATGTCTGAAACGGCTATAAGTACAATAATTTTTCACCTTTTTTATTCAATTATTCGTCTTATTGACAAAGAAGACACACCAGCAAAGGTGTGCAAGAAGCTTGAGAAGATGTTTCAATCTCGCTCTCTCTCCAACAAGATCTACATGAAGGAGAGGTTCTTTGGGTTCAGGATGTACCATGCAAAGTCACTAGAAGCCAATCTAGAAGAGTTCTTGAATATAACCATTGAACTTGCAAATTCTGGCGACAAGGAAGAGCTTAGCAACAAAAATAAGGCAATCATTATTTTCAACTCTCTTCCAGAGGTGAAATCGGCAATCAAGTATGAAAGATCATCAATCATCATAGATGAA